GGTGCCGTCAGAATGAGAGTTCAACCGGCTGATAAAAACATCACACTAATCCAGTAATGATGATTTTTTTGTTTGTTTATTACAAACACATTTTTAATTAATGGACTGAACTTGTGTGGATTACTTGTCGATTATTGTGGTGTTTTAATTAGCTGTTTGGACTCTTATTCTGATGGCACCCATTCACTGCAGTGGATCCATAGGTGAGCAAGTGAAGTAATGCTATTTATCCAAATCTGCTCCTCATCTACATCTTGGATGACCTGAAGGTGAGTACATTTTCAGCAAATTAAAATTTTTGAGTAAACTGCAGTGTTCCTTTAGGACCTCTGTTAGTTTAAAGTGTATGCATGTCGTTTGGAGGCATGTGAGTGTGTGTTTTTGTCATGTACATGTGTATCAGCATACTTTAGGCCTTTTGTTGTAGAATGAGATAGGCACTGTGCCACGTATCTGCCAGCAGGGGATACTTTTTTTTTTTTGAGTGCCGTGGGCAACAAGTCCTTGATTTATCTGGATAGAAACAACCTGACAGTTGTGCCAGAGACCACAGACATGCACACACACAACTGTAATGTTATATTAATATTCAAGCGCCATATTACTACTCCACGGCTCTCCTTATTTCATCTCTTTGCAGACACACTTCCATAACTTTAAATGAGGCACTTGTGTTTATGTTACATCAATCAATACTTTTTTCCCCCAAAAGCAAAACTAAGGCAGGCACATTATTTAAACATGGACTTTGAACTCATTCCACGTCGAAAACACAATTAAAGTGGAGTCAGAAAGGCACTGCAGGGCAGAATAATGAACTGTTGGGGCCAACGGAGCACAGAAAATGAACTTATAATTAAGATTTCAGCATTACATTAAATCTATACATCATCCAATTGGATTTTATTTCTCCCAGGAGCATGTGAAGCAATAGCTCTTTATTCATCCTAACTGCTGAAAACAGTCTTTTGTGGTGACGTGATGCATTTGAGGTCTATGTATGAAATGGTGTTGACGAGAGTGGTATACAGACACAAATGGTGACAGCCAGTGAAGAGGGGCTGCCTGTAAAAACAAGCTAACGTACCAACGGGGCAATTACCTCTCATGTCAATGATGTTTTTACAACATGTTAGAAACTCAGCCCAGCCCTGTGAATTCCTAATATATGACCGACAGGAGAGATTTCTTTGGATTTCTTTGTTTCTCTCGCACTGATCCCTGTGTACATCGCTGCTTTTACTCAAGCCTAAAGCTTGAATTTAATCAAAACACACTTTAGCTGCAGTATGAACCACTTTGGGGATTCGTAGGCATTTAAAAAACAGCAATTAGCTGCTAGTTTATGAAGACAAGCCTGTTTAATATTTCCCAGGCTGATTAGCCATTATCAGCTTTGTTCAACACATATTCCTCAGTGCTTATAATTGCTTTATGATGCAATAACTGCACCATTATCACACAGTAAGTTTTCCTAGCTGTGATCTATTTTTTCCACTTAGGTTTCAAACTCATCTCTAACGTTGCTAAAATTGTTCCTAAAATTATTAATTTTCAAATAAGTCTCAAATGTTCTTTAGTTGGGTGTTTCTCATAGCAAACTTAACATATTATTTTTATATGTTCTCTTATTTCTCCATTGCACTGTTTGCATTATGTGAGTTAATCAGTCAGGCGTAATGTACAGTCATCATTGCAAAATGAACCTCGACAGGGATATAATATATGTGTGTCTTTACACATTATTTTGTGAAAATGACCCAATTGACTGTACATTATTTGACTTTTTGTATGGATATTTACCAAATAAATAAAGAAATGGATATGAAATATTCATTGTTTTATTTTGTGAGACGAGGAAGCACAGTATATGAAAATTATCTGTGAGAAATTGCAATTTGTTACACACTTTAGTGGTCATGTAGTAAAAAAAAATATTGGACCACAAAATGCTGAAACTGACCAATCAGAATCTAAAAGGACATGATCAGGTTAAAAATAATAAATAATTTAAAAAGAGAATAGAATACAAGTATTTTAGAAAAAACACAAAATAAATCAGGAATAAAGCATGCAGGTCTACTTAAAGGTTAAAGAAATAAACAAAATGCAATAACACTAAATTTATTTTTAGGTTTAATGGTTTTTAGATTTATTTTTTATTGGCTCTAGATTGGAAGCTTTTTTTCTCTGTTTTTAGTGTCTTGTGTTCACCAAAGCTTCGTTTATTTAATCAAACATATATTTTAAAAAGCTGTAAAACTGGGAAAGATTATTACCATTTAAAATAACTTTTTTCCATTTTAATATATTTTAACATGTAATTTATTCCTGTGATGGCAAAAACAGAATTTTCAGCATCTATTATTCCAGTCTTCACTAGATGTGTCTTTACTGACACTTTTAATCACTTTAATGTATCCTTGCTGAAAAAAGTATTCATTTCTTTAAAAAAAAAATAATAATTCGTACTGAATTTTGAATGGTAGCATATAATGTTTCAAGTACAAGTGTTCTCCAAATCTTTACAATTGTTATATACGTATAGTGGTCTGAAAAGTTGCCTGCCGTTATGAACAAGCTCCCAAAGCCAGTTCATCTGCAATCTCTTTTTTTCTTTCAGTCTGGTCATCCCTCTTTTTTCATTGGATCTCCGCCTCTTCATCCCTCCAGACACCCACAGTCATGAGGATTTATGGCTCTCTTGGCGCCCTATAGATAGAGCTGACCCAGTGTCCAGAGAGGTCCTGAGACATGAAAGCCTGACCTTACTGTGCCCAGCATGCCTCTGCACACCTGTGGGCCGGCCAGGAGGACACTGGGAATCAATTTCTCCAGCCTTTCCATCCCGTCTATCTCTCTGTCCTTCTACTCATATAAAGCCTTCTTCCTCAGTAACTCAGTAACATTCGCCGTTGTGGCATCTTCCTAGGTCTACCCGAGGGACTTTCAATTACACAGTGTGTCACACTATTTTTCAAAACTCTGAGATGTTGTTTTGGGCTCTGGTTAAAGGCCCAAAATCATTCACACCAAGAATGATAACTATAACAATCACTGTATGAGTGTCCGCACCAATGCACAATAATGTACTGTAAGCATGGGCTGCAGTTATACTGTCTGGTGCTTTAAATGTTCACTTTGAAGCAGGATGGCATTAGCTGGAAAATGGAAAGTGATTCTGAAGTCATTCCAATGATATTGTTCCTCTGTGTTGATATCATTATAGTTGTGGACTCCAATATTCTCATAAAATCAAAATGATTATAAAAACTTCATATTTATTGTCGTCAATATAGTTATCATCCTTGGTGTGAATGGGCTTTAACTCCATAAATTGTGCTCTATCACATCATCCTTGGCTAATACTGCATGAGATGAAACGGAAGTTCAATCGATGTCATGTCAGTGTTAATATTATTTCTTGGGCTATCATTTAACATGCTAATTTAGTGTGATTAAATTTATTTTATTTTATACATATTTATGTATGTTATTTATTATTGATGTTTGATTTGTATAAATAATGTATATAAATATTGTGTATTGTGTATGTGTATATATATATATGTATTATAAATATATATATTTTATAAATTATATGCAAATTCATATATAATTTTTTTCTCTATTTTTTGTTTCATAAAATTCACATCTTGAAATAAAAAAAAATCTGTAACTTCTTTTGCATGTATGCAACACTCTTTACAGTCGCTTTTCCCTCCTTTTTTCTCTTTACGAATGCCCCATGCATGACCTTTGACCTCAGGGTCAGAACAGGTTTTCAGCTTGTCAGGTCTATGAGTGGGGCTTGCTGAATTATAGTGTCATGAGTGACAGCTGGCAAGAACCAATAAACTCCATCCCTGCATTCCTGCAGAACACCATTAAAAGCCTTTCATATCGCTTTCTCTGTTCAAACGGGGCAGTTACTGGGTTTTACTCTGCTGCTCCAGTGCAGTTCCTCGGGAAGGCATGTGACCAGCTCAGAGGTCTGGCAGTTTTATTTGTGAGATCTTAAAACCCTGGTGCTATATGTTCTCTGTGGAATAAGTCCACCTTTTTGACCCCAACTTCTGCTGCAGCTTTTCAAAAGTCATGTTTGGGAGGTCTCACATCAGCAATAATTTCAAGAGACTTTCCAAAGTGTCTAATTTTGTCCCCAGAGATTACAGATCCAAACAAAATTGCTTTTGATTTGACTTCGAGGTTTGAGGATTGTCTGTACCTTGTTCAGTAATTTTTGGAATTGCAGTGATGTAAGTAATTATTTGCTGTATGATTGTCATGTCATGCTGCCACTCAGGTGACCTTAGTTGCCCAAAAAAATGCAAGCAATTGTGCAAGATCTCAAAGCATATTAATGTTAAAGTCAAACTCTAAAGGACTAAAAGTCAATTACCATGCATATTCTTCATATAAAACATTTTCAACAAATTCAGAAAAAAAAGCCCCTAAAGGAACATGATAAGAGAAAAATGTATTTCAATGCTTTTGCATTCTTTTACAAAACGTTTGGGTTCCCCCACTAAACTTGTGTTTGCTCACAAAACGTTTGCAATAGAAATAATAAAGGTGGGAGAAACAAAAAACAATATGTCAGTGATTTTGTAAGAGAACGCAACACAATAGTTTTGCAAATGTTTGCAAGAGTAAAAAGGTTGACGTGGGAATGCAATACTTTCACGACAGAACCCAAACGTTTGGAAATCAAGTGCAAAAGTGCTGAAATATCTCCATCACAATGTCCTCTTAGTGGCTGCATAATTTTCCTTAAAAAATGTATATGAAATGAATGTACATTTTATATATAAAATATATAGTATAATTATAGAGAGACATATGTAATGTCTTCTCAGTTGCTGCTCTCTCTCTTTCTTCTTACTTTTCCTCTCCGTTTCACTCTCTCTCTCTCTCTCAATCCATCTTCTTGCCGTAACTGTGAGCCAACCTGTTGTAGCTCTTCCACACCCCCTAAACTTTCTCCTTCAGAGGTATTTGCTTCATTCATTCACTCTCTCTTTCTCTCACACACCCTCTTACAGGTCTCTTTCTAGGCCGTCTTGGATTCTCACACTCCTCGTCCTGGGACGTTGCGCTACAGTGTGTGGAGTCCCATAACCTGTTCTTGGATTGGATTATTACCTAATGGATCGCCAGCAGACTGGGTCTGTTTCAAGCAGGCAGCCGTTTTGCATTTGAGAGGAGGACCATGGTGCAGGGTACAGTTGGAAAGGTGAGTGAAGGTTTCGAGACGAACTTTTCAGCCCAATGCCTCACAATGCAGAAAGCAGTATATCTATCTAGCTCTCTGCCAAGTTTCTCTTGTTCGTTTTCTCTTTTTGGTGCACTCTGGATGTGGGCCATTTTCTCAGAGTGGTTCTCAACTAGTTTTACTTCATGATCCAGACATTCTTGGATGTCAGGTGGCGATTTAACACAGTACCAAACCTAGATTCAGTTTTTACTATTTTCTTTTACCTTGTGTTGTTTTGTTCATGAGTTTTCAGGATGAAGCAATGCCAAGCAACCTGTCCAAGTTGGCATCTGTCTAATTTGGCTTCAACCAAGCAACATATGAACTGACTCTAAAATATTGTAGAGTTTGTAGAGAACGCATGACTTTTGATGTCAACAACAATGTAGGAAATGTTTTCTATGTCTATTTATGTTGCTATCCTAATTATATTTGCATTGTAGCATTAGCATTTAACATTGTTTTCCCCTACTAACCGCAAACCAATCAGAACAGACCATTTTGGGGTCATGACCCTTCAGTTGAGAACCACTACTGTAAGTGCTCTTTTAATGTTCATTTTCTCAAACATCTACTGATCAAAGCTAGCATGATTTGACCCAAATTCATTTATTTGTTTAATGCATTGTTTGTTTAGGTAATTGTAGAACAAAATCAGAGACTCCATCCACCGTATGCCGTTCCACTCCATTTACCGCTGCATCTGACGGCTTCAATAGCCCCGCTAATGCAACTAAAAAGCCTTGAACCAGTTGGTAGAGTGTGTTGGTGATGTCTCCAGTCTGATAGCTTTTTCCTCCATGCACAGGCTTTTGCACGCCCCTCGAAGTCGAGCGGCACTCCAGATTTAGTCATAATGTCATAAATGAACCGCATAAAGTCACTTCATTACTGCACGCTGGCGGCCTGCCTCTTCCTGCAGCTGATAAGCCTCCACAAACAGCGTTCCTTCCAGCTATTATAGTGAGCGAGCGAATATTGGGAGCATGCATTTGGATATTTGTACTACAATAGATGTTTTGTGAGGACGTTCCTCCCACTATCTTAAAATCTTTCTTCGCTGAAGCAACATTTAAAAATTTCTGGCTTATCCCATGAATGGCCGCTTTTGAACTTTGTGTTCATGTTTGATTTAGTGCATTCACTATTAGCGTATTCATGGACTACAACAATTGCCATCTCTGTGTGTGCACTAGTGTGTTTTTGGACGCTTTTAAGAAATGTTTTTCACCCCAGTGTGTGTGTAACACTTAATTTAGAGCTGCAGACATAATCTTCTGCGAAGTGGCCGTGTTCATAAATGACTAACAAACAGCAGGGTTTGTAGAGAGAGCAAAAAGGGGCTTGGGTCGGCTCCTGTACCTTTATAATCCTTCAAAGTGCACAACGCTCACCTCTCCGGTCAGCCTGCGCTCGTGAGATTACATTCTCTGCTGCATGACTTTGCTGAATGCAAGTTGCTGTGCAGCAGGCGTCAGAAAAATATCCCTGGAGTCACGGCGGTAGCACCTTCCTGTCTGTACGTTGATGCGAATTATCGCTTGTTCAATCAGATTCATTCATAAATCGCACAATCAGACGGCGGACTCCAAAGTGCAGCAATTCAAAAAGTCTTATCTGCCCCGTCCAGAGTACCGGAGTCTATGAAAAGTCATGTAAACTGACTGCGGTACAGAAGTGCTTGAGGTTACATGCTCAAACAGGACTGAGTTTGAATGGTATGTGTCGAGCTCATGGCTCTGAAGTTTCTTGATGAAAAATCTGGCTGTGTTCCATTGCATCTGATAGGAAAACATGCCTTCTCCACTAATTTTGTATGCTGAGGGTATCTGACCTGCATGGAAGTGTCCGTGATCATAATAAAAAGTTTTAGCACTATGTAAAAATGCTTTATGGACTCCCATGTGCACCCATGAGAAGTTAGTTAAAGTCATCGAACCCTTGCAGCTGCATTAATTTTGTGGACTGTCAGACTCGTTCCTGCACATTAGAAGTGGCAGTTGTGCAGTAAAGCATTGCATTAGCATGGCTGTGGTTTCTGCACAGCTTGACAGTGCTGTCTGTTGGCTGAACAGAGACTCTGTAGTTGTAATATTCCCCACAGATGTAACCTGACAAAGCCGCAGCGACTCTGTGCAAGATCATTGATTCCGTATGGTGTGTAGTTAGTTAGCGCAGTATTTGGAATGACAGCGTTTATTTGGCTAGAAAGCTGTTCACCTGTCTGACACTTCTGGATTTAGCTTGAAGAGCTTTCACAGTTTGGAATTAGTTGTGATTTCAAAGGATGAAGAGATTTTGCCATAATTAAAGCTTCTCAGAAATTTGGAGATTTTGTTTTCAGTTATGTATTCAGTCGGTCACATTGTGAGATATGTCTTGTCACAATCACTAGAAATAAAGTAATTGTGACATGTAAAGTGACATTATGAGATATTAAATCACAATTATTGCATATAAAGTGACAAGGTGTGTGATATTAAGTCAGAAATATGAAAAGTCACAGTTATTCATTATAACACAATCACAGTAACTTAAGTCATAATTGTAACATAATGACCTGGTTTCACAGACAGGGCTTAGACTAAGCCAGGATTAGGCCATAGTTACATTTGGATATTAAAGTAATTTTTATAAACGTGCCTTAGAAAATAACATTACTTTGTCTTGAGACAAAACAAAGGCACTGATATATTTTAAGATCAGTCAGTGCAAGTTTATTTCAGTTAAAACAGCTCAGACTTACATTTTAGTCTGGGACTAGGCTCAAGCCTTGTCTGTGAAACCGGGGGATAAAGTCATATTGTGAGATATTAAATGAAAATGATCACATAAAAAGACAATGTGAGATATTAATTCACAATTATGATCTATAGTCACATTATAAGATATTAAGTCAGAATTATGGCATGTTAAGTCACTTTGTATGATATTAATCACGAGAAATAAAGTCGTAACTGTGATAGTCACATTCTGAAGAAATAAAGTTGCTATTGTGACATATAAAGCCACATTCACAAGAAATAGTCTCAATTATGACAATCACAAAGTGAGATATAAAGTCATGATTATGACAGAGTCACACTATGAATTATGACAAAATCACATTGTGAGATACTAATCACAAGAAATGTTGCAATTGTGATATAGTCAATCAAAAGAAATGCATTTGCTATTGTGACAGTCACAATCACAAGAATCGCATTGTGAGATTTGAAGTCACAGTTATGACAGTCACATTATGAGATATTAAATCACAATTCTGAGACATTAAGCTGACTTAAAAAGTCATATTGTGAGATATTAAGACACAGTTGTTACAAAGTCACAGTATGATATATGAAGTTACATTGTAAGATATAAAGTCATAATCATGAGAAATTAAGTAACAATTATAACACATTGTAAGCTTTTGTAGGATTGTATGATATAAAGCCACATTTTCAAGAAATATAGTCACAGTTCCTGAGATATAGTAATCTGTGAACAATCATTTTGGAGTTCTGAGATATAAAGTCACAATTACAAGGTGCTTTTGTGTGACTACTTCCAAATTATGACAGAATTTGCCATTTCTTGATACACTGGTAAAGACCTCATTTTCCTTTCAGATAAGATAATTTTAGACAAAAGGATTCTTGGACAAGTTACGTCAAAGAATTGGTGTCCTTGAGGGGAAACCAAAAATTCTGGAACCTTCTGTCCTGAAGGTAGTTCTGTTCTGGAATTCTTGACTCAGAATGACTGTATTGAATGACAGGATCAGTATTTTCACTGCAGTTCTCACCTTACGCTCTGGACCACACACAGACATGAATATCAATGAGCAGTCTGAGCCTGTTAAGTTGAACTACACACTTGGTGTCTTTCACAAAGGTCAGGTTTGTTGTGATACTCTGACCTCAATGTTAACTATGTTGTGTGATATAACCTGCTCAAAGTGGCGAGTCACTGTCATTGTATTGTTAGACATTTTGTGGTCACACCAATATGTGAAGATGCATCGATAAATATATCAAATTTTTCCAGTTTTATTAATGCTGTTCCCTAGATGCTTAAGGTGGTTTCCAATCACAGTCCACAGTTTGCATAAATAACACATAGGAGGCCTTATCATAACCTACATATGGAACCAGACATGTTTTTTTAAATAATTAAAAACTCTGGCAAAAATCCAACTAAGCAAACTTAGCAGTAAAACCTAACTGGTGAAGCTGGTCAAGCAAGGAAGTATTGCTAGTTAAGCTAGTTGAAAGCCTGTTGAAGTAGAATCCCATGCTGAAAATCAGCATCCAAAATATTACAAATGATGACAGCCAGCTTGTGTTTTCAGCAGATGTTTCATGCAGTATCTTATACATTTTTAAACATTTTGAACCTGAGGCAAAATAAAAGCATTACAAATGTATTGCTGTATTCCTCCAAGCTTTATAGTGATTTAAAAGTGATTACTGGTTTCCTCTTAAAGGGACAGCTGACCAAAAAATGAAAAATCTGTCATTATTTACTTGTTCCAAACTTGTTTGACTTACTTCGTTCCATAGAACACAAAAGAGATGTTAAGCAGAATGTTTAGGCTGCTCTTTTCCAAACATTGAAAGTGTATTTTTTTACAGTTTTTTTTTATCGTTTTATTGATCTCTTATGCTCACCAAGACTGTATTTATGTGTTTTAAATACAATGAAAATAGTCATATTGTGAAATATTATTTTATTATATTTTCAAATATTCCTGATGGCAAAGCTGTATTTTCAACAGCCATTACTCCAGTCTTCAGTCTCACATGTTCCTTCTAGAGCTCATTGTTTATTTGATATAGAAATGTTTTGTAACATTAAAAATGCATTTACCGTCACTTTTGATCAATTAAATGTACCCTTGCTGAATAAAAGTATTAAAAATCTTACCGACCACAAACATTTGAACGGTAGCGTAAGTAAGCCTGTAATTCAGTTTATATCTGCATATTCAAATATGTTTCAATTTGTTTTTGGGACCTTGACAACCTGAGGTTTCTATCCACTTTCATGATATGGAAAAAAGCAGTCTCTTAAGCATCTCTTTATGTGTTCAACAAAAGAAAGAAAACCATCCAATTCTGGATTATCATTTTAAGCTTAACTATTCATTATTATTGTACAGAAGATTCCTCTGTTAAATTTAAATATGTGACACACTGAGAGGAAAAAACGTGGTAGAACTTCATTGTGCAGTACCGAACTTTCTTAACCTTAAACAATTATCTTTTATTTGAATAATACCTGTCTCTATCTAAGTGCTATTCATTTCTTAACCGGCGCTCAGAAGGCCTGCGCAGCCATATCTGACAGGATAAATGTGCCGGATTATACAGGCGATTTTCAGTGAAGATTCATACTCAGCTAACAGAATAGATCAAAACAATTATTCTGAATGTGTGTATATGCATATGTATGACGATACCGATCTCTCTTCCTCTGTTTTACAGATAAAAGGGAGAGAGCATAGCAGCTAAATAAAGTGGAGAACAAGCCCGTCTCAGGACATCAGTCCAAAGAAGAGGATCTGCCGGCAGAGAGATAAGAGGGGGAGGACAGGGAACGTAAGAGAGAGTCGGAGGACGAGAGAGAGAGAGAATGGGATATTGCGGCATGTGGATCTTCCTCTTGTCCCTTTCTCTCTTCTATCAAAGCGCCACTGCAGAGGCTGAAGGTAGACTGCTGACTCATGCTTTATCTACATGCGATAGGGCCTCTTCAGTCCCCAGTGAACTGCCAATATACCGCCCTTCAATCAATCACACTCTGAAAAGTTTGCAGGCAAAATGAACACTTGCCAAGCACTAAATGCGGGTAAAATTTGGTGAGCAACTAAAATTGAGTTAATCTCAGTAGACACAATGATATACAACCTTTTGTGTTAGGATGCGAGTTAAAAGTGAAAAAGAAGGAAAACTTCCAAGAAGAAAAAAATGTATATGTAAATCATGTTGTAAATTCCTTCTTTTTTCTTTAGTTCTTGATTTGACTAGCATTTAAGACATTTTTACTCCAGAATTTCATATCAATTATTTTTAAAATGATATATAGATAAGTTGATATGCTAGATCCTAGTTAATAAGTTGGACCAGACAGATACGTATGCTGAAGTTAGACAACAGAAACACCAAATTATTTTATTTTATTTTATTTATTAGTTGAATAATTAATCACTAATTAGCTTTTTATCTATTCAATTATTTTGTTTTATTTTATTTTATTAGCTGAATAATTCATCAGTTACTTCCATGTCAGTGCGTATCTAATTCAATTTTCATTTTATTTTATTTTACTTTTACTGATGTCACTCTGTACCATTTTTGTCCAGAAAAAGCCCCCTTTATTTTATTTTTTACTTTTATATGTAGTTATGTATTTGTAGATGCATATTTTTATTTTTTTATATTTGTATTTTATTCAATTTGTTTTATTAGTTGAATAATTTACAGAATAATCAATTATTTACTAATGTCAGTGCTTTTTGGCTAATTATATTTTATTTTATTTTTATTTATTACTTGAATAATTAATCAGTTACTTCAGTGTTAGAGCATTTTATTTTTTCAATTTGTTTTTATTTTATTAGTTGAATTATTATTAATTATTAATCAGATTTTTCTCTATTGACGTTTTTCATTTTTTATTTTATTTTATTCTATTTTATTAATTTATTTTATGAATTGAATAATTAATCAGTTACTTCCATGTCAGTGCTTATCTTTTCAAATCATTTTATTTTATTTGACTTTTACTGCTGTCACTCTGTACTATTTTTGTCCGGGAAAAAGCCCCCAAAAATATAAATGTCTTTGATGAATCCCCACACCCTTACAAATTTCTTATGTTGCATGAAGTTTCGCAATAGGGAAGTCCGTCTTCAGTCATGTCCATGTGTGTCAGTCCTCGTCTGTCTGCACACCTGAAGAGACTGTACAGGTGGAGTTGAAGTGGACACAGAGTTCTTTCCACATGTGTCCTGCTGAGTCAGCAGGTTCTGTCTGCGGGCCATCTGCACACCTCCTGCAGCTTGATACCTTTGGTTTGAGCCTTTTCAGATAAATCACTGTACCCCTCTCTGATTTCCATCACCACAGATCCGTCTGCAAAGAAATCAGTGTGTGCGTGTTTATGTTTCACCTTGAACTGTGTGTGTGAGGGAGAGAGAGGCAGACAGAGTGGGAAAGAGCGAGAATGTGAAACATATTGAATTCACGCAGGATGGTTTTAGAGCAGTCTGTCAGGACCAATTACTGACTGAGGCTCTAATGCCCTGAAACACTGTAATTTTCCACACCTCTTCAAAATTGCTGTTTGCAGTGACAGACACTTGACTATGAAATGGAAAGAATGTATTTTCCAAGGTCACGTCCTTGTACTCTTTCAGCATCACACCTGCTTTATGTCGAAATCCTGTTAAATGTACTGTAAAAGCACGAGTCATCTAACCCCGGTAATCAACCCTTATAACTGTAAATACACAGGCAGCCACTTTTCATTGCTGTCAAGGCATTGTTGTCATGGTAATGGCCTGCCAGATGCTTTAAAATTAAGTAAATGTTTGCTTAATAACCTTATTTCTTCACTGACTTTATGAGTCAGCACTGAACTGAGCTCTTTTAAGTTGTATCATGTTAAACCACATCATCTTCACAGGCTGATGATTTTAATCTAGCAGCAGATGATTTTAGTGTAATCCTCTACGCACATAACTGCACGGTCTGTGACTGCGGATGAGATGTATCTAGAAAGTCAAACTGAAGATGATCTGTTTATTGTGCTGTATACGATGATGAGTCTGTCCTGACATGGCAGTGCTGCATTGTGGCTCTTTTGTGGGTTGAAGTTATCACTATCAGTTAAAAAATTATGATAATAAATAATGCTCTTAGACTGAATAATTCGCTTATTCAGCTAGAGGCGTCATCTTCTGGTGCGACGTGGGAATCCCTCACAGTGCATTATGGGTATTATCTAGCAGTTGAGTGCACATCTGTTGCACACTCGTTATTGAGGTGCATTATGGGATTGAACGTTTGCACTTGATAATGTCCACTATGGTTTTGTACACCACTACAAATGGCAGTGCCCGATTTCAAGGGGTCATGAACTGAGAAATCTAAATTTCCTTGATCTTTTGATAAATAAGAGGTCATTGCGCTATAAAAACATCAAAACTTTCTCGTTAGTCTAAAAACAGCTTATATTGAAGCCGTCTGCCAAAACGATAGGTTGTGGAATTTGCCACTTTATGACGTAATAGTGTGACTAAACACTGCCTCCGCAGAAAATGATCAACACCTGCTTCTACATCACTGCCTGTTTAGCCCCACCCACCGATTTGTGCACATAGTAGGTAAATGACAAGAGTGGCAAACACAGGTCTACGCAGACACCAAACGATTAACTTTATTTGATTAACTTTTTTTTAAATGAGGTTCCAGACTTGGTCCTTTGTTCACTTCATTTTAGAAATATTAAAACTAAAAGATGATGCTGTGCCTATGATGTCGCAAGTGCAAGTAACTGTTTTTATTACGTGATCACAATTGCTTTGTCTGTCATTACAGATCGTTTGATATGTACTGAGTATTTATGCGTTTTTATCCTAAATGACAGCAGCATCCATCTGTGAAGGATGTAGGCTGTCAAACACTCAATTATTAGTCAGTCATAGCAGTGGGCGTTTTTCTGAGTCTACAATCCGCTACGCCTATTCAAACGGAGCGTTCTGATTGGGGGGTCAAAACAGGACAGAAAATAGCTTATTACTTCTAAATTATGAGGTTTTTTTATGTAAAAATCTTGATGACATTGTAAGTGGACCTCAGAGAACAGTACAAAATAAAAAAGGCAGTTCATGACCCCTTTAAGGGTATGGGGGAGATTTCCAATTAGGAAGCATAAGTGATTGTGAATCAGTTTCACCTACTTTCCAGTAGTACTTGCAGTAGTACTAGCACCTACTTTGGTGCTTTGGTTCACCAACAGGTGTGCTGGAGAGGCGACGGCAAGAAAACCCCCCAAAAAGGGAATGGTTTTGCAAGTGGTGGTGACAGACAACTGCTCTCTCCTTATCCTTCCTGACTGTTTTGTCCCTAGTTTTGTATATTGTGTTAGGGTCGTTCTCACTGCTTGTAGCATAAGGCAGTACCTGCAACCCAATTAGGTTGCACAGGTAGTCCAGCTTCTCCAGGATGGTACTTTCATACATGCTGATGCAAGGAGATTTAGGTGTCTTCCAGCACAGTCTCAAGAGCATGGAGGAGATACTGGGAGATGGTTTGTTACACAAGAAGAGCTGGACAGGGCTATAGAAGAGAAACGTCCCAGCAGCAGGACTGGTATCTGCTCATTTGTTTGAGGAGGAACAGGAGGAGCACCAGAGTGGAGTGCAAGAGTCCTCAAAAAATGACCTCCAGCAGGCTGCTGGTGTGCATGTTTCTGTCCAAACTGTCAGATATAGGCTCCATAAGGGTAGCATGATGGCCTGACGTCCTGTAGTGGGACCTGTGCTCACAACCCAGGACCATGCAGCTCAATTGGCATTTGCCAGTGAACATCAAAACTAGCTAGCCAACGGTAACCTTATTGCTGTTAGGTACCGGGATGAAATCCTCAGAGCTGCTGTCAGACCTTACGCTGGTGCAGTGGGCCTTGGGTTCCTGCATGACAATGCCCAGCTTCATGTGGCCGGATTGATGCCATCGACTGGTCCTCACATTCCCCAGACCTGAATCCAAGTAGCACCACACACTGTCCAGGAGCCAGTGCTGGGAGATTACTTGTAAATTGTAGTCTGTTACTTACATGACAAAACATTGTAGTCAGTTTTAGGTAATATAGTCAGACTACTTTTAGATTACTTTTGACTTAACACGTTCATCACATTGATTTAAATAGAATGCCTCTAGACCCTCAGCGCTGCCTGCAGAGAGTATCCTCACTGAACCGTTAAAGTTTACTTTTGATGAACTTCCCTATTGCATGAAAGCAGTTTTCTCTTTTAGAATGCTGTATATGAGTGATCAATCATTAAAGCCTGCAGTGTTTGTTCCCTTCTGCTGTGGGTGGCACAGATTTTCCCAACTCTGTGCAGCAACCTTTCCCGGAAATGAGACTGAACTTTTTATGTAGTTCCTGCCAGATGATCAACAACATTGTGTCGTTTAATGCATATACTTTTGTTTCCAGAGCTCTATTGAGTTCTGATTTTATAATAGCGTCTGTCATCTTGTGGTGGTTGGGGGGGAAACAAGAAAATTTCAAAGCATTCTTCTGAGAGTGAGTTAGAGGCGTTGAAAAGCTCGGGATGTACTTGTTGTCTTCAGTTTTGTTTATTTTAGGTGTGGGTGTGTGAAACGATGTTCTCTCATCTGTGAGATCTGGCTGTACATTGTCCGCTGCTATTAAGTCTAATCTAGTACTGATTAGCTCCTGCCTAAAACAGCTCATCTTTGGAGAGTTATCTGATTCAGAGGACATCTGCAGTCCACTTAGTGCCAGCCATTACAAGTTTCACAGTGATTGTGCAATCACCTCATGACCAAGGCCACATCTGCACCAATCAAAGACAGAAAAAAATGAATATTTGGATACAGTTTAAGGATGCACACTACCAGAAAAGAAGCTCAGAAAACATCCTGAAATTGTAGGTCATATGAAACCATAACAAGCACTAGATGACTGGACTTCTCTTCTGATCTGAGCCTTTAGCTGCTATTCCTGTTTAATGTGCTTTCTAAAGTGCAGGTCACTTGGCATAAATTTACAAGCTCTTAAAATCTGTATTTTCTCTGAGTCTACACTGCCATCTAACGGTGGCCAAACACATTGTTGCTGGGTGTGAACAAGATGAGGATGCGCCCTTCAAAAATATGATTCAAAATTGAACTAAGAATGTCAAGTCAGTTCAGTTCCTGAATTTTATTGAAATATGATGCAAAAATTCAATTTAATTTTATACTAAGCATAACTAAAATACAATCAGGAAAATTCACATTTGATTGATTTTTGAGAGTAGTATAATTTAAATAATTGTGATAACACTTTAATTAATGCAATAACAATGTACTAATAACTAACAATGTGCAATACATTTGTGACAGTGTAACGTTAGTAAAAAAATTTAATGTAAAAAATGAACAATGTTCATTGTTACATGTTGGCTCAGGTCCATTAGCCTAAATAATATTAACAGATACTAATTTTGATAATGTATTAGTAAATGTTGAAATTAACATGAACTAAGATTAATAAATACTTTGGAAGTATTTTCATTGTTATTTCATGTTGACTAATGTAATTACCTAATGTTAACAAGTAGAACCTTATTGTAAAATGTTACCATAATATTTTCATATTTTTTCATTACTATACTCAAAATGTGCGGGATATTATCAGTTGTATATTTTTAATTGGCATATTATAGTTAATCAATATTTAAAAGGTTACCTATCAATAATTATATAAATTCAAAAATAAATAAAATTGAATTATATTAATTCAAACTAATTAATAAATCATTAAATTTATTTAATGTTCATTTTATGTATGAGCCCTGGAAGAAGAATTCTCTAATTTAACATAAATAAAGTCAATAAAAAATATATGACTTGTAATAGACAAGGCTTTTTATTGCACGAATGAAATACCCCTATTATGTTTATCTTCTATGATTTATAATACTGAAATCCATCTTGCTTTCAAAACAAATCAGGTTTCTGTGGTGTGTATGTGTCCAATCCCCCTGAAGTATGCCTAACTTTCTCAATATTAAATATTAACCATCTTATTAAAACAATTTCATTTATAAAGCCATTCTCTTTTTTTTCTTTTCAGTATGTCGTACTGCCATGCCTGCTGATATTGTGTTCCTGGTGGATGATTCCTGGTCAGTGGGTCCGACCAGCTTCCAGCAGATCAAAGAGTTCATAGCGGACATCATCCGAGCCTTCCAGGGAAGTGTGGCTGGACAGGAAGGCATTCGCTTTGGAGTGACTGTCTATTCAGACTTGCCCAGGTCAGTATACATACTGAGGCGGGTTAGTGTTTGCACAACAGAGAGACGATTTCTGCTGTGAAAATGATTATGAGAGAATAAACACTATAATATATAATGTGTATATTCCTGACCTCAGTAAGCACAAATTGACTGCTTGAATATTCTATGCATCTGGCTGTGTCCTTGTTTAGGATGCGTATAGCTCTGACGGATTATTCGACTCTGGAGGAAGTGCTGAGAGCAGTGGAGGAGGTGCCATATGAGGGAGGCAACAGCCGCACCGGCTTGGCATTGGAATTCCTTGTCGAGTCTGTGTTCAGTCCTTCTATCATCAGAGACAATGCCCCAAAGGTGTGACACTTCAATCATAATCACTTCAAAACACCTTTTTCATGCCTAACCCAACTGCGAGAGAAAAGGACCATATATGCTGCATTATAAGTGCTTCATAAATAAAAAAAGACAAGTTCACACACAACAAAACCCATGTTAGAGGCACAACAGAGATTTTAAAATGACTTTTATACGACATTGCATATTTACTCAAAATGTTAAGTGCCTTGACACAACAATCAGTTTGTCCACACCAGGCACGTGCACACATAGACATAAAAGGGGGCTTGAGCACCTGCCCTTTTTCTTCCTCGAGAGAAAGTGCCTTTTTTTCTGGGGAGTGTCTTCTTTTTTTGATAAATGAATATATGTAGCTATATGTGCGCGTGTGTGTGTATTTCTGTTTGCGCACAGCTTTCCCTGTCAAACTAATAAAAAATCCAAACATCAGGTCGGGTCGGGAAATGTAGAGACTGTCAAGTTTCGACTTGTAGCACACATTGATCGGCACATGCGCATCAGGCAGAGCCAGTAGCCCCTCACTGCAGAACAAAGATCCAGGGAGCGGGGTTGGATCCACATCTAGGGGGTGGAGATGGTAGGTTTAGGGCTGGAGATGGGTGGGTTTAGGGATCAGGGGGTGGAGACAGGTAGGTTTAGGTATATGTAAGGTGGGAGGAGTTCTGGATCCAACCTCGACCCCTGGATCTTGTGTTCTGCAGTGAGGACCAAGTGAAGCCCTCCCTCCCTTTCCAGTTGTGTTTGTCTTGGTGTGGAAGTGAGTGGTGAAGAACAAAAGACTAAAAGCTATCGTGCCTCGAATTTACAGCTAATTACCCAAAAGGCAAATATAGTTAATTTGTCTTGCTAACATCCATGACTCATGAGAGCTACATGATTCAGTTCACTGCATGATTCAGTTTATTAAAATGCATTTAGAATGATCACAAAATTCAAGATATGGGGGCAGAAATGTATATATTTATATAATTTCATATAGTTAATCAGTATCATGCGAAGACTGACGTTTTTTCCACCAAAAAGCAGCATGATTACAAATGTGATATTGATTTTATACAGTAGTTCAGTAAACAAGAATTTAATAATAAGATACTTACATTTTAGACACAATATTGACTGTTTTTGCTGTATTTCGCCAACAAATATAATTCCAATTGGCATCCTGAGCAACATGACAGTGTTTCGTTCCTGAATGAATCAACCGTTTAAATGATTCGGTTCAGTCGCAATGACTCACTTATTAACATTGACTTGCTGCCACCTACTGGCGGTTTTAATTTCACATTTAAAGTATCTTTTCATTTTTTTTTTATAATTTCAAATATCAGTATTCAACGTTTTATGTTTAAAATATCAAAACAGTATGAATGCATTTGTAACTGCAGGTTAAATACATTCATGTCCTTTATTAAACAGTGTGTAAATGCATCTAAATGCCCCTTCTAATGCAGCTTCTGTGTTTTCTCTTCATTGCAAAGATGGATTTTGTCAATACTGATTTCATTTAAAAGGTAAAAATCTATTTAAACTTATTTGAAAAGATTAATTTCTATCACTGCTGTGAACTGATCACCACACAGAATATGAAGAATATCAAAAATTTTAGGAGTCCGCTGTCCACGGCAGTCCTTAAGATATCAGCACAATAACACACTCAGCAAAATATCATCTAATTATTGTTATCAATAAAGTCCCAGAAAATATTGAGATATATTTTTGGTAATATCGCACACCCCTAATATATTTAACGGTTTGATTAGAAAATAAATAAATAAATAAATAAATATGAGAAGTGCCCTTTTTTCTACTTGAGCCCCTAACCCTCAAAATGTCTGTGCACGTCCCTGGTCCACACTGACCACAATTTGCTGCACGATATGACACAATCACAGCCAATACCATACAGTTATGAGGATCAGGATTGTGAACCAAGGACATTTGGAAGTGGTCAGGGCTACGCACTTAAAAATAAAGGTTCCAAAAGGGAGCTTTTTCACAGTGGTTCCCCAAAGAACCTATCAGTGAACTGTTCTTAAAAGGATTTAATGTAAAGAACATTTTTTAAATCTAAAGAGCCTTTTCCAACTATACTCTTAAAAAATGAAAGTTCCAAAAGGAAATGCCATGCCATATAGAAGAACCATTTTGTTTCTCTAAAGAACCTTTCAGTGAACAGTTCCTAAAAGAACCTTTTTTTTCTTAGTGTGGAGAACATTTCAGTAGTCTGAAGAACATTTTTCCACCATAAAGAACCTTTTGTGGATTGGAAAGGTTCCATGGATGTTAAGGTTTTTCATGAAACTATAGATGCCAATAAAGAACCTTTAGTGTTAAGACTCTATAAAGAGCCCTTTGTTGAATAGAAAGATTTAATGGATGTTAAAGGTTCTTCATGGAAGCATAGATGCCAATAAAGAGTGCACCTAGCATGACGATGCATGAATGTAAACCAATCAAATGACAAAGTCATGCTGCTTGTCATGGTCACATCTTGTACTGTTTTATTTGCACCTCATTCGCACCTCAATACTGAATCTCAGTGATATCTGCACATGATTAAAACTGCAGCAAAGTATTTAAATGCTACATTTCCAAATGAAACATCCTGTCACATATACACAGAACAACCTTCTAATTATATATCTCAAAGAGCTGCACCTGCAATCACTCTATTGATTCTGTCAGGACATCACGTCCTGCGCTGCAGTGCACACCGCAGTGTCCCACCCATCCTAATTTAGGGCTTGATTAGGATTCCAAACCGCAGCTGCTGGTCTTGCTGTAGAGCACCTGGTGTGGAGAAATGAGCGGGCGTTTATAATGAACTGCAGAGATTTCACCTTTTATTAAAACTCTCATCACATACATACACTGTAATGGCATGCTAGTGTAGAGTGCATAAAGATGAACCCAGACGCAGCGCGACGAATGCTGGTGAACTTTAGGTGACCCAGGAGATGTTTCCTTTTCAGAATACTCATTTGTGAATGTAAGCGACTTTGCAGGTTTGGATCTGCTGCGGTCGGGGAATTATGTATGCAATGAGATGATAATTCATGCTGTGTGCTTTCAAGGGCATCAGTATCAGCGTGATGCTCTTAATGGCAGATTGAGTCCTTTAACAAAAATGCACACTTTTGGGTGGATTTCATGAAAGCTGACAAGGAAAAGTCCCAGTCATATTTCACACCAAAAATCAAAAGCAAAAAAATCTGCATAAAGACAATAATGTTGTTGTTTTCAATAAATTATATTTTTCATGACATAGAAGCATATTTCACCTCTCAGATTACTGTAATGCATTATGGTAATATATTACAGTAATGAGAATCATTGTTGAAAATAATAGGAATAGTAAAAGTATGTGTTGATGCATTTTTGTGACTAAAATTGGAGTGGAAAAAAATGCCTGATCGTCCTGAAAATGTCACAATGCAAAAATGTAATGTTCCTACTATAAATGTAGGCCTCATTTTCTATAAGCAAAATATAATTAGTTTTTTTCCTGTTAACATTTTATTTTACAGTCCTGTTCTACATTTATGTGCAATGTACTTACTATAATAACTGACTCCAAACCTAACCTTAACCCATGTTAAGTCCATGTAGTTCCATCATCATATAACAGTTGCTGTGTAAGTACACTGTAAGCACTGTAAAATTAAGTACAACCTTTTTCCATTAAGGTTAAATACAAGTTGGACTTTCTCGACAGGCTTCTTGAGATTTACCCTTTAATATATTTCTGTACATCTTTGAATTTTGCAAGATTTGATAAAAAAAAAAAAAAAGCCGGGGTATCTTCACGTTTGACCCAGTTTTATTAGTTTTTTCCGTTTACGCTAAAAGTAGCTTTGTATTTCTGTAGTTGATATGTCCAGTTCATTAAATGTAGTTTTTTCCCTCCAGTATTAAGATATTAGACAAAAATAAAGCTAATTTTTAATGACCATTAACATTTTTTGCATTGTGACAATTTTAACTACAATTAAGCTCATATTTGAGTGTGAGATTCACCCTTTTGCATGTTGGGATCACTAAAGCATCACTTTATGTTTTTCTCTATTTGGGGGGGGGGGCTCAGATTGCTGTTCTGATCACTAATGGCCAATCAGATGATCCGGTAGACGGTCCAGCTAAAGCTGTAACAGATAGTGGGATTTCCCTCTTTGCTGTGGGTGAGTTGAAAACTTTCTATTAAGAGTTGAAAACTTTCTATTAAGTGTTTGTGTTGTAGTTTGAATGGGCATGACGCGTCTGTTTGCACTCTCTCGTGTTTTGACTTGTAGCTCAGAGTAACTATAGTGCAGTGATTTACAGTGAATGGTAATATTGGTGAACAAGGCAAGACATAAAACAAGTGTATGTTTGTGTGTGTCAGCCTTGTTTCCTTGACTTTTTTCACGCTCTTTCTGTTTTGACGCCCAGAGTGCTGAAATAATTATGGCTCATTACCCGGTGGCTGACTAATTGCTGTAATTTTTCATCAAGCCCATTCCTCTTTGCCCCCCCTTCAACACACACACACGCTGACACCGTGTCCTGCCTTTCTAATCAGTTTTCCCAGAGAGACATGAATATATCAGGCCGTTTGACACATCTTTGAGACACATGTACAGCAGGGTGACATGCCGTGATGTTCTCACATCATCACTTTACAGCTGATACACTGTCTGATAACACTTCAGCAGGCCTGAGACACATGAGGGTCATTTCTATGCACACACACACACACACATGGCCTCCATGTTATGACAATTTTAAAATAAAGTCACGTTGGAGTTGTGACATAGTGGTTAATGAATAGTAGTGGTGCTCATATGGATGATGAAGGTTCGAGTTTGACCTGCAACGTGCCCTGATTCCATAATATGTAAGAATTATGATGTCAAACTGTGTAGAATCTGTGTTATTTTGACTGGTGCTGTGTGTCTATCAGGGGTGAGGAACCCCAATCAAGCTGAGATGAGAAAAATGGTCACAGAACCCCATGAGGAACATCTACTGCTCAGCCCAGATTTCTCCTTCCTGGAGAAACTTCTGCCCAAACTGTCTCGTCGCATGTGCTTCACTGCTTCTGAACCTCCCCGGCCTGTTAAGCAAAAGCCACCTGGTAAAACCTCCATGAGTTTTGCTAATGAAAAATGAAACTTATCTTGATTGATTGATTGTAGCCAAAGGTTTTTGTTGCAGTCATTACAGTTCAGCTTCACTAAACTCTCACCTCCTTGGCTACTTTTGCTCCCTTAGACAAGCTTTACAGAAGATACCATAAAAATAAATGGGAGATTTATGTGAACAGTTTTAGGTAACACTTTACTTAAAGCCTTTATGTATAATGCATTATAAAAGTAGTTTTAATGCAATAATTATGCCTTGTAAAGCACCATATAATGCATTGTACAATATCATGAATAATTGTAACACAGTTAATACATTATAACACTTATCAATTCATTGTTACACTATGCATTTTAAATTCGGTTATAATTATTTACAACAAGATATAATGTATTACAATGCACATTATGAATAATTATAATGCATTCTACCCTTTAATAAACCTTTATAATGCATTATACATAAAGCCTTTAAGTAAAGTGTTACTCAGGTTAATTTTCAGTAAAATGCACATAATTAGTCATTATTTAGTTAGTTTTTTGTTTGTTTGATTGTTTTAAATACAACAATGTTAAATCAAATTGCACAGTAACATGAGTTATTGCTTCTATTAATAACCTAAATGTGTACATACATTATTTAACATTAATTTTGTGGGCTGAGTGACCCAAGTGACCTGTCGTTTTTACACATTTTTAAATAATTTCCACAGATACTTAAATGGCTTGCATTCAAAAAGTGCAAAAATATTGTCTGATAATATATCAGGCAGCAGTGAATAGCTAATTCTGTCTTATCCTGTGTGCTGTTCTGTCTGCTGTAGTGCTGAAGAGGATAGTAGGACCTAAAGATCTGCAAGTGAGCGAGCTGAGTTACAGCTCTCTGCAGCTGACCTGGAGTCAGGCCACAGGAGACGTTACCGGCTACAGGCTGCTCATCACCCCTGTGTCTCCAAAGGGCCATCTGCTCCCGGCACAGCAGAGACAGGTGAGACACGGTCACCTGTGCATATGTACACCCCATGCAGCAGAGCACAGCAGATGGAGGGCTGCACATGGACCAGTTTTCTTTATGTGGCAATAAGCTAATATGTTTACTGTGTATTTGCAAGTGTGCATGTATGGTTTGTTCAGAATATATTCTTTTCTCTTCGTCTCTCAGATTGATCTGAAGGGAGATATTAGTAGTACTCCAGTAACCGGGTTGAGTCCTAAGACTGAGTACTCCCTCACTTTATATGCCATCTATCCCGGACGCATTGGAGAATCTGCCACTATTACCACAGAAACCAGTGCGTTTTGAAATTTACACACTAAAAATGTCTCTAAGCCTGATAAATGTACATCTTTCATTTATTTGTACGCAAACTTTCCCATTGTCTAAATGCAGTGTCCTAGCGTGCATATGCTTTCTTTTCAGCTGTTCTGCCACCGGTTTCGAACTTCCGTGTGATTGAAGAAGGACTGTTCTCTTTACGCCTGGGATGGACGCCTTTGCTTGGAAAAGTGGATAAATATAAAATTTACGTTCCAAGAAGTGAGAAATCAACGCACACTCTGAAACTGAATATGAGATATTTTAAAGATGTTGTTTTAAGAAATTCCTTAATTTGTTCTCAGCGGACAGACCCAGCCTCATTTATGATCAGATACTGTCGGGTGACGTCTCCTCTCATGTGATTGACACTTTAGAAGAGGACAAAGAGTACACAGTCGAGATCTACGCTGTCTATCCTGAGGGCCCCAGTGAGACTGTATCTGTCACCGGGAAAACTTGTAAGTCTGTCTTCTGTCTTCTGTTTCGTTCCTTTTATAGTATAGTTTAATCTGATGCCTCATGTACAAATTCTGCCCTTCAAAATTAATACAGTACCACAATGATGGCATCGGAAACTTTAAGTACTGTACCACAGCACTGAATAATCACCATGTCTCTGTACCATCATGGTATTAGGTACTTAAATTTGGTAGTCTAATAAGGTTTGTACAATGGTGCATGTCCAAAAAAAAAGAAGAAAGAAAGCTCCTATTTAGACTTCCTATTTCATGCCCACTTTATATACACATGATAGTGGTTTTTTGTTGATATTTTGTTTACAAAACATTATTGATTAAACAGCATATTATACACACATATGTATATTATAATTTCAGTAATATATATATATATATATGTATATATATATATATATATATATAGACACACACACACACACATATACTGTATATATATATATATATATATATACTGTATATATGTATGTATGTATGTATGTATGTATGTATAGAGAGAGAGAGAGAGAGAGAGAGAGAGAGTTAAAAATGTACTGATTAAACAAGTTTAATGTTGTGCATCAATACTGTATGATTTGGTAATAATAATAATAATAATAATACATTTAATAATAATAATAATAATACTTATTATTAGTATTAATAATAAATAGTTTATTATTGTTTGTTTTTGTAATAATTTGACCATTTATTAAAAGAATTATTGTTAATAATAATAATAATAATAATAATAATAATAATAATAATAATAATGGAATTATTGTGTGTATTACTTATTTAACCACCAGATGGCAGACTAACACATATCTTCATGAAGAAATCTTTAATATTGTTTGTTTTTGTAATAATTTGACCATTTATTAAAAGAATTATTGTTAATAATAATAATAATAATAATAATAATAATAATAATAATAATGGAATTATTGTGTGTATTACTTATTTAACCACCAGATGGCAGACTAACACATATCTTCATGAAGAAATCTTTAATATAAAATCTAAAACGTTCTCTTGTGTTTTTATGCTTTTGTGTATTTATTCATTTTGTTTATTTATTTATTTTTTCGATTTTCTGTTCAACTTTAGTAAAACAATTATTATTATTTTTATCATGCATTATCATCCTATTTTAGAACGCTGCTCTTATCCTTCTCTGTGTGTTGCAGTGAAACTGGTCCCAGTTGATAAACTGCTGGTGCAGAATGCCACTACAGACACAGTTCAGGCCCGCTGGTCGTCTGTTAGAGGCGCCACAGGATACAGACTCACCTGGTCATCATCAGGTAGCAAGCGCTGAGCTACTTCAATATTAAATGCAGCCTATTTAAAAACATAAATGTTATACATATCCCTACTTTCATATTTCCGCAGAGGGACACATAGAAAACGTGAACCTGGGAGACAACTTTAATTTCTACATGGTGCAGGGCCTGCATGCTGGCACAGAGTACACCATCACTATCAACCCCATCTTTGTGGACATTGAAGGGCCTGTTACCTCTGCCAAAGCTAAGACATGTGAGTACTACACGTGAACTATAAGGGGCCGTTCACACAGGACACATGCTTGCTTTCCAAAACAGCTAGAAGGAGCCAACACAATGGAACCGGGGTTTCAATATATGTTATTTAACTCAACACAGTGTCTTAAAAACATCTAGACATTAAAAATAGTGCAGACTGAGTGTGAAAAGATACAATAAATCATTCCACGTATGAAGATGCTGATGCTCTCTCTCTTTGTCTCAGTGGAAAGCAGTGCAGTACAGACCCTGAGAGCGTCTGCGGTGAGCACTAGCAGCGCTGTTATTTCATGGAACGCTGTACCTGGAGCCACAGGCTACAGATTGGCCTGGGGCCCTACTGCAGGTACCTATATAAGTACCTTTTTTCCATCTCCTTGTCCTCCATTTGGCCGTTCTCCACTTTCCAGTTTCACTTTGTAGTCTGTTTCCCTTTTCATTTCCTCTCTCTTTCTGATTTATAGTCTCTTTTTCATGGAAGCGACAGGTTGGTGACAACATGAGGTGTTGCTGTGCCGCCTCATGACTCATGCCGTCAACTTTATCTGTGTGTTTAAGAGAATTTGTGTGTGTGTAAGTTTGGGGCTCTGTGTGAGAGAAATGAATTGATGGCACCTCAGAGCACCTCCAAAAGAAGAGTCTTTGAAAGTGACTCCTTTCTGTCACTGTGATGGGCTGCGGGCATCTGCTTTAAAAGAACGACCTGGAAGAACATTCTGATGAAGGAGAGCTCTGTGACTCATACCACACACTCTGACACATACATACAGATGAGTCTGAGGATGAGTTAATGGAGAAAAGGGAGAGAAACGGAGGGAGAGAGAGAGAGACAAAATTAGAAGTTAGATGTTTAGTATTTTAAAAAATTCTTTAAACATGGAAGTAAGATTTCTTTTTATTATTTATTATAAATTATATATTTTAAATATAAATATACAATGTTGATGTGTATTTGTATGAATTATTATACAAATATAAATATATAAATTTTATTATATATATATACTGTATATATGCTAAAAATCTGTCTCTCTTGACTCCTCCTGCAATAAACAGAGAGAAATTGTCTCATCAGATCACAAGCGGATGACACCAAATGCAGGTGAACACACACACACACAGCATTTGTAGAGTAAACACTAATCTGTCCTGATTTGTCGCAGACAAGAACAAAGGACAAGGATAATATAAGTAATTTATATTTAGTATTAGCTTCTCTCTCTCTCCATATATATACATATATATATATGCATTTGCATTTAGTCATTTAGCAGACGCTTTTATCCAAAGCGACTTACAAATGAGGACAATGGAAGCAATCAAAATCAACAAAAGAGCAATGATACGCAAGTGCTATAACAAGTCTCAGTTAACTTAATGCCTTACACGTAGCAAGGTTTTTTTATGATATAATTAATAAAATGAAAACAGATAGAATAGAAAAAGAATAGAGCAAGTTAGTGTTAGAGGCCTTTTTTTGTTTTTATTAATTGTATAATAAATAAAAAGAAAACAAATTAAGTTTTAGAGAAGAAGATTTAATTTAATTAAAGATTAGAGAAGAAAACAAGCAGTTAGTAAATTCAATTCAATTCAAGTTTATTTGTACAGCGCTTTTCACGATACAAATCATTGCAAAGCAACTTTACAGCAAATTGAGTTTCTACAATATTTAGTGGTAGCTTATCAGTGGTGACTGTCAGTCAATGTACATATGGCAGAAATGTACGGAAAAATCAATTAAAGACGTAATCAAACAGACGATGAACATTATTAACAGCAATTATTATATGATGCAATCAACTTATAGCAAAATGTGGTAGTTCTGTAAGTTGTTTCAGGGTTGGCATCATCTGAGGTCCTCTGAAGGGCTGCATCATCTCTTCTCAGGTGTTCTAGATCCAGACTGAAGCTTGTGTAAATCCTAGTTACCACTGGATGTCAATCCCGTGGCAAAAAACAGAAAAACAAATAGAGACATAATTAGCGTAGCTGCTGTTCCAACCAAGCAAAATTGATTTGTTTAACCCAAACTAAAGAATAATAATGTGCATTTGATCAGATATAACTGCAGTAAAAGATTATGAGATGCATTATTTGAATGCTTGGCCAAAGAGATTTAAACAGAGAGAGAGTGTCTGAACCCCGAGCGTTATCAGGAAGGCTATTCCAGAGTTTGAGAGCCAAATGCGAAAAAGCTCTACCTCCTTTAGTGGACTTTGCTATCGTAGGTACTACCAAAAGTCCAGCGTTTTGCGACCTTAGGGAGCGTGATGGATTGTAGCGTGGTAGAAGACTAGTTAGGTATGCAGGAGCTAACCCATTAAGGGCCTAATAGGCAAGTAATAATATTTTGTAACTGATACGGAACTTAATAGGTAGCCAGTGCAGAGACTGTAAAATTGGGGTAATTTTCATTTCATTAAATGAATGGAGTGCAAGTCTAAAATGGGCAATTTTTTTAATTTTTTTAAAGAATAGAATTAGAATAGAGAGTGCTAGAGTTAGAGGGTCAAATAAAGATGGAAGAGATGTGTTTTTAGCCGATTCTTGAAGATGGCTAAGGACTCATCTGCTCAGCAATAAAATAAATGAAATACGCAATTTTATTATTATTATTATTATTTGCTAAAATATATCAGTATGAGACATAAAAAAATATTAATATTACTAGAATAAAATGTTATAATTAATATACGTATAAAAATTTAATGTAAAATAAAATATTATAGTATATACTAAAGAATGTACAAAATATATGTAACAAAAATTTAAATAATTATATATATATATATATTATATATATATATATATATATTATATGATATACAGTGGTGGCCATAATTATTAGAACACTTGGCATATTTAAGAGGTTTCAGTTGTTTTTGTTGAATTGGCCATTACAATACCCATAAAACTAAATATTGCTGGAACTACCTGTGACGGAAGGAATCTGCTGGAACGTCAGCTTCACTGTTATCAGCACATCTTCACAGCTTCACAGACAACACTGTGAAAAGCAGAAAGCGGCTGCATTGCACTTAAACAAACACTGTATAAAAACTATAAACACCAAATAACATCACCTATGTATATTTAATACCATAAAATTATTTATTTAACCTGTTTTGACTTGAATATGCCATACATATTGGATTTTAATTCCTCAAGAGTCATGTTCTCTGGATTTAATAACTAAAAAAAAAGTTAAATATTTGAGTGAATTTTTAATATGAATAAATTCAAATTTAATACATTTTAAATAATACATGCATTTTAAAATAGAACAAAACGGTAATATGTATGTTTGAATTATATATTGCTGGAACTACCTGTGACGGAAGGAATCTGCTGGAACACTGAAAATGATGGACAGGCTCCTGAAAGTCTGGACTTCAACCCCATCGAGCAAATTTGGGGCGAGTTGGAAAATAAACTGGACAGATCTATTGAGCATTCAAAGGAAAGCCTTTGGCTTGAGTTGCAGAAGGCATGGGATAACATTAGTGTTGAAGTTCTCAGGAAATATATTGACACTATGCCAGAGAGATGTGCTGCTGTAATTGCTTGAAAAAGGTGGACATATCAAATATTAAAATTAAAACAGTACGACTCACTTCATCTGATATTTGTTGTGCTCAGAGCAACCCTCTGCATGTTTTGTGAACATTATGAAATTAAATAATGTTTTGTAGGCAAAAAAAGTCAATATTTTCAGATCTGTCAGGTGTTCTAATAATTTTAGCCACCACTATATATATATATATATATATATAACTGCAGTAAAAGATTATGAGATGCATTATTTGAATGCTTGGCCAAAGAGATTTAAACAGAGAGAGAGTGTCTGAACCCCGAGCGTTATCAGGAAGGCTATTCCAGAGTTTGAGAGCCAAATGCGAAAAAGCTCTACCTCCTTTAGTGGACTTTGCTATCTTAGGTACTACCAAAAGTCCAGCGTTTTGCGACCTTAGGGAGCGTGATGGATTGTAGCGTGGTAGAAGACTAGTTAGGTATGCAGGAGCTAACCCATTAAGGGCCTAATAGGCAAGTAATAATATTTTGTAACTGATACGGAACTTAATAGGTAGCCAGTGCAGAGACTGTAAAATTGGGGTAATTTTCATTTCATTAAATGAATGGAGTGCAAGTCTAAAATGGGCAATTTTTTTAATTTTTTTAAAGAATAGAATTAGAATAGAGAGTGCTAGAGTTAGAGGGTCAAATAAAGATGGAAGAGATGTGTTTTTAGCCGATTCTTGAAGATGGCTAAGGACTCATCTGCTCAGCAATAAAATAAATGAAATACGCAATTTTATTATTATTATTATTATTTGCTAAAATATATCAGTATGAGACATAAAAAAATATTAATATTACTAGAATAAAATGTTATAATTAATATACGTATAAAAATGTAATGTAAAATAAAATATTATAGTATATACTAAAGAATGTACAAAATATATGTAACAAAAATTTAAATAATTATATATATATATATATTATATATATATATATATATATTATATGATATACAGTGGTGGCCATAATTATTAGAACACTTGGCATATTTAAGAGGTTTCAGTTGTTTTTGTTGAATTGGCCATTACAATACCCATAAAACTAAATATTGCTGGAACTACCTGTGACGGAAGGAATCTGCTGGAACACTGAAAATGATGGACAGGCTCCTGAAAGTCTGGACTTCAACCCCATCGAGCAAATTTGGGGCGAGTTGGAAAATAAACTGGACAGATCTATTGAGCATTCAAAGGAAAGCCTTTGGCTTGAGTTGCAGAAGGCATGGGATAACATTAGTGTTGAAGTTCTCAGGAAATAGATTGACACTATGCCAGAGAGATGTGCTGCTGTAATTGCTTGAAAAAGTGGACACACCAAATATTACATTAGATAAAAACAGTACGACTCACTTCATCTGATATTTGTTGTGCTCAGAGCAACCCTCTGCATGTTTTGTGAACATTATGAAATTAAATAATGTTTTGTAGGCAAAAAAAGTCAATATTTTCAGATCTGTCAGGTGTTCTAATAATTTTAGCCACCACTATATATATATATATATATATATAAAACTTTTTTAGCCATTTATATATATTTATTTGTGTGTGTTTGTGTATGTGAAGAGTTCATAGGGAGAGATCGGCCCAGGCAGTTGGCTCTGAATGGCAGCACTACTGAGTATGTTTTGAAGAATCTGGTCCATGACACAGAGTATGTGCTTTCCCTTTATGTTCTCTTTGGCTCTGCGGTTGGTCCGGGCATCACCGCTACATTCAGGACCTGTGAGTGACCCGACACCTTGTCATGTTTCCTTGATAAACACATTCTGACAGTGATTATTTATATATTGGTGCTTGTTGGTTGGGTCTCATGTCATAAGTTCTGCTCCCTAGCGCCTCTCGGATATGTCTCAAATTTTAAAGTGACATCATACACCAGCTCGTCCATCGATGTGGAATGGAGTCCTATTGTAGGGGCCACGGAGTACAAACTCACCTGGAGTTCAGGTGAAACTAGTTTTTAAAACCCTATACTAAATATCATGATAAAACATTGAATTTGTAATAAATCTGTCTAGTCTATTTTAATAAGGCCCATTAAACTATGATATATTCCAAAAGGTTTGACAATGTTGATGTTCTCTCCCAGAATTTGTGAGTCCTCAGAGTCGGTATCTTGACCGCAGCATTTTACGGCACAGCATCACTGGTCTTCAGCCACAAACCCTTTATTCTGTCAGCATTCACGCTCTCTACAGCAACACAGAAGGACCAGAAATCACTCTCTCACAGCAAACAGGTACTGTTCACTACATTGAACTTGTTCACAGATTCACAAAAAAACAAATAGCCACAGTATTTGATTTAACCTTCTTTGTATAGTTTCTGGACGTGTTAACTGTGTCCTTCTGTCTCGAGGCACCCAAACATTCATTTAAAAGAAGATGCTGAGTTCATTACACGTTAAGCTCAACTGGTGTGACATAATGTTGATTAATACAAAAATAATATCAACTTGTCTCACCTTTTCTTTAAAAAAAAAAAAAGCAAACATCTGGATTACAATGAAACACTTACAATGGAGCCAATTTGTAAACATTAGAATACTCACCATTTCAATAGTATAGACATAAACAATGTGTTAACATGATTTTAGTGTGAAAAATCACTAACATTTTAGGTATAACGTTATATCCAATTTTACATCTTCCTTTCCATGACAAATTAACTCTGTAAACCTGAAACCCTTAAAACAGTTATAAAACAGCATAACATCTGAATACACAAGTTTTAACAGAAGAATAAATATGCTTTTATAAAATTATAACATTCACATTTCCTCCAAAAATTGGTCCCATTCACTTCCATTGTAAGTGCATCACCATACCCATTTTTTTAAGAAAACAAAGGACTAGTTATTTCTGTGGTAATAAACACCCTGAAACCCAGATCTTAGAATATTCCTTTAATACGCTCTTATTTTTGCTTATTTCACCTTTTCACACTTACAGCCTCTTCATACTGGTCATTTTATTGTTGTCTGTGTTGTACTAAGTCTTCCACAGAGTTTTATTTGGTTTCTTTTACTCTGTAGGAAAGCTGTACCAACAAATCTTAACTCTTTTTAGTCCGTTTGGACTGCTCAGTTTGGCTCTATGTCTTCTTACAATGACAACTGGTCGACAGGCACATGTCATTTATCAAAGCCATAAGAAGAAAACTCTGCTCAGTTAATTAGGCACTTCAGACAGTCGGGGTCCGGGGATATGGAGATGTTCCTCCCATTGTTCCAATGAGATTGAGGGATATCATGAGATTGATTGATAGCTCCTGTGTTTGAGCCCCCATCTTTAGCAACCACAGCTGTATAGAGCAGTATTTTTACTGAAGCTCAGTCTGCTGTCAGCTTCACTGTTAATACTTGTATTCTGCAAGGACACATTAAATTGATGAAAAGTGATAGTAAAATATTTATAAATTTGCAAATGATTTCTATTCCAAATAAATTCTGATCTCTATATCGTTCTATTCACCAAAGAATCCTGAAAAAGAATTATCACGGTTTCCATAAAAAAATATTAAGGAGTACAAATGTTTTCAAACATTGATATAAGAAAGGTTTCTTGAGCAGCAGATCAGCATATTAGAATGATTTCTTAAGGATTATGTGACACTGAAGACTAGAGTAATGGCTGCTGAATCAGCTTCACTGTTATCAGCACATCTTCACAGCTTCACAGACAACACTGTGAAAAGCAGAAAGCGGCTGCATTGCACTTAAACAAACACTGTATAAAAACTTTAAACACCAAATAACATCACCTATGTATATTTAATACCATAAAATTATTTATTTAACCCGTTTTGACTTGAATATGCCATACATATTGGATTTTAATTCCTCAAGAGTCATGCTCTCTGGATTTAATAACTAAAAAAAAGTTAAATATTTGAGTGAATTTTTAATATGAATAAATTCTAAAAGCTTTTGCTAAAGTTATGTTTTAAAGAGGTCTTTTTTAAAATCATTTTAGATATTTTCCCTGATATCCATTTAAAATGTGATTTAAGGTTTTATGCACCAGAAATATTCATTGTTTAGTTTTCATGCCCTTTTCCCACCCTCTCAGTGACCCTTAGAATAAAACAGGCTGCTTTCATTGTTTTGCCTTTTTGAACTTGTCAATTCTCCATTTGCATGTAAAATTTGAAACTATTTCTAACAGGCGTTACATTGTCAGCTTTACATCTGTGCTGAAATATACCACACAATTAAACTGTTAATAATTGATTTTCCATAATATGATGCCTTTAAGAAGTGTAGAAATTTTACTGCACTGTCTACACAATGTAAACCTATACAATGTGAATGAATTGTGTGCTTCTTTCTGTTAGTGTGTGGCAGGGTGAAGGCAGATATTGTGTTTCTGGTCGATGAATCCTGGAGCATTGGAACTAATAACTTTGGCAAGCTGAAGGATTTCCTGTTTAGAATCGTCACCTACTTCCCCTCTATAGGACCTAAAGGAACACAGGTAGGACATGCTAATGTGCTATACTAAATTAAAGGCTTTCCACCTCATTTGGGACGATTCTTTGTCTTAGTCACTAAATCTATAGTCTCATAATAAGTGCAAACATCTAATGTGCTGTAAGTGTGGATTAAACCATCTCATTAACTTGCCTTAGATAGCAGTAGTTCACTACAGTGATCAGCCCAGGATCGAGTTCAACTTTAACACTCACAAAGACCGTAACTCCGTTTTGAGAGCACTCCGTGAAGTCCGCTACGGAGGGGGGAACACAAAAACAGGTGCACAAACACATTCAAAAATTAAAACTTGTTAATGCTAAATATTAGGGTGATGTCTTATTTAAAATGTGATGATTGTGAACGTGTGTGTAGGTCGTGGGATCAGCTATGTCCTTAGGGAGATGTTTCAGGAGTCTTTGGGTATGAGACAGGAAGTCCCTCACATGTTAGTGTTACTGACAGACGGGAGAGCACAGGATGACGTAGAGCCACCATCCAGGATAGCACATGCTCTGGGTGAGTAATATCAACTGCAGTGCAGGAATAGACAGATATTCGAACACAACTAAATATACAATGCTGTTCAAAAGTTTGGGGTCAGTAAGATTTGTTTAACGTTTTTGAAAGAAGTTTCTTCGAAAATACAGTAAAAACTGTAATACTGAAAAATATTTTGCGCTGTCAAACGATTAATCGCAATTAATCGCATCCAAGAAAAAAGTTTTTGTTTACATTATATATGTATTCTGTGTATATTTATTATGTATATATAAATACACACACATACAGCATATATTTTTTCATGTTTATGCAAGTATATATTCTTATGATTATATTTTATATTAAATATAAATATATTTAATATAGAAACAACATATTTTTCTTAAATATATACATGCATGTGTTTGTATTTATTATATACATAATAAATATAGACAGTATACACATATATTATGTAAACAAAACCTTTTATTATGGATGCGATTAATCGTGATTAATCGTTTGACAGCACTAAAAATATTATTGTAATTTAAAAGAACTGTTAAATTTGGAAGCCTTTTTCCAGCTTATTTTATGAAAAGTAAAATTAGAAAGGTAATTCTGAGTTTATATTTCACTATTTTTATTTCTCACAATTCTGAAAATTTATTTAAAGTTGATTTTTATTTTTTATTTCTATTTTTTTTTTCATTGTCACTTTTGAAAAATTTAATGTGTCCTTCCTGGATAAAAGTATTAATTTCAATTTTCTCTCAAAAAATACAAAATGTACTGACCCTAAAATTCTGAGAGGCATACTTCATCATAATTAAGTAACACCTTAGTATAAGGCCGAATGAATGAATGTTTTAATGTGTATTTGTGTATTAGGTGTCAGTGTGTTGGCCATTGGCATTGCTCATGCAGATATTGAGGAGCTGAGGACCATCGCCTCTCCCACCACTTACAAGAACATCTTCTTCGCCAGTGATTTTGACGATCTTCCAACCATCGAGAGAGAGTTTATCAGCAGCATCTGTAGCGAGGCCTTACAATCAGAGTTCAAACAACACGATGAGGTGGGCCGTGCAGATCCGATTGTGAGTATTATTTTCACAATACATACTGCATAAGTCAGATTTGTATTTGTCTTTGTCCTAGTCTGCTCAACTGGACACACCTACAGATGACCCAGAAGCTCTCAGTAAACCAGAAGGGCCCTGTCCACTTAGCTGCAAGGTAAACGCTTCCTCTACATCCTCACTAAAGCTGTCACACCATGTCTTATATGAATCCTCATTCTCGGGTTGTTGTTGTTCACAGGGTCAGAAAGGAGAGAAGGTAAGTGGCAATTGTGTTATCATGTGTTATTGATCAAATAATTATAACTGATGATATGATTGTATCTCATTTCTTCACTGCAGGGCGATGGATTTGGTCATGGTGGCCTGGTATGTTAGGCACCAGCAGACTGCTATTTCTTCATTTCTATATTTCCTTCTCGCTAATCTCAGTGGCTCGCCTCATTCTGTTTGAACTCTGACAGACAGTCTTTCTCTCTTGTTAGGGATATTTACCAGGCTAACATCAGTATTATTATTGCTAGTATTAGTTAGGGGTAGGGGTTAGCAATATTAGCATGACAGATGACACATGGCATCATAACTGCGAATTTTGCATAGTGTTATTTGTATTTTTTTAATAGTTTTATTAATATTTTGAATTCGATTTTTAAATATATTTTCCGTTTTTATTTAATTTCTATTAATTTTGTTTTGCACAGTGTTATTTTAGTATTATTTATCTACTTTTATAGTTTGTATTCATGTTTTGATTAGCTTTTATTTTTATATTTTCAGTTTTCATTTTAATTTTAGTTACATTTTTAGTAATTTTATGTGCTCTTGTCATTGTTATTAGTTTTTTGTTTTTTAATATTTCTAAATAGTTTTAATTTATTTTTAATTTCAGTTTTATTTCAGTTAGTAGTTTTAGTGCTCATTTCACTTTGTTGTCAACATTTCTCATTTTCATTTATTTTTAGAGTTTTTCATCGAATATTTACAGTATAGTTAATTTTATTTCATATATTTTAATTAACAAGAATGTTTTTAAATAATCTTAGTTTTAGTTAACGATTACAACACTAGTTTTGCACACACAATTTCTAAAGAAAATATAAAAATCTAGTGTCTTTCCTGCAGTATTATTTTAAGAGTATTTCTTTTTTTTAAAAATGTTTTTCTCCTGATATAGCGACTCAAGCAAGGCCCGGGGCATTATGATTCATTCTCTCTAAAGGTCAAAGGGGAAAAGGGTGAACGCGTGAGTACATCCAACATCTGAAGCGCTCATGCTGTTCCACAACACAAACTTAAATAAACATAAATAAAACACCCCGTCTCTGTCTTCATAATTACATGTTGATGTTAATGTTAATTACTGGAGCGTTTAATATTTAAACCAAGCCGTTCTGTTAATAATGAGATTGTTTTTGTGACTCGGTTGTTGTTTTAGTAGATTAAAGGATTAAATCTAATTATTAATATCACAGATCTCTCTCTGTACGGGGTGCTATTCGTACTTTGCTTTTTTGTCTTCCTGTTATCTCTTTGAGAAGGTGACACATGAAAGCACTTGTCATATCAAAGCGACTCTTTTAAATAACAAATGAAATGTGACAGGTCTTGCTAACAAGATCAGTATTGTTATGATGTTTCATTATTTATTTTTGTGATGTGTATCAGTGTGAATGCGTGGATTCATATTGCTCTATATTTGCTTTCAAAGTAGTATGTGCACTGAAGATGTTCTGCTGTTATATTTGAGGAGTACCAAACAATTTCTGTGTATTTGTGTATATTATATAAGATTGTACTATGTCTGTATCATTCCCACTTTGCATTCATCAGGGTCTTCCCGGAACGGATGGAATTCCGGGTTTACCAGGACGACCAGGTAGAACTGGACCTCCTGGTTCTCCTGGACAAAGGGTAAAGGATGGATCGAAATTCAGTCTAATACAGCAAAAATATGTAACAAATGTAGCTTACTGAGAAGAATATTGTTGATTACAGTTGTGAATGTGCATAAACAATTTCTTAATCTGATTCAGGGGGCGCCTGGAATTCCTGGTGACATGGTAAGTGTCCTATTTAACATCTCACTATATAAAAACAGTGTAGGTGGTGATATTTAAATCGGTATATTCCTGAAATGGTGTTAAGGTTTTTACTGTATGTATTTAAGATGTAGCTTCAATGCACAATATAAAGTTACAATACAAGTCCATACTCACATGCAACGTGTGGTATTTGCAGTATTTTATAGTATTTTTCTTCCTCTTAGGGCGAGACTGGAGAATCTGGTCCTAAAGTAAGTCATCTACTGCTCAATGAACAATTTACCATTTAACATTTTATATAAAATATACATGCAAAATTCGTCATAAATGTGTGATTATGATGCTTCTCACATTCTTCAGGGTCCACGTGGAAAAGCGGGTCAGAAAGGAGAAAAGGGGGAGCATGGAAGTAATGTTAGTGCATGCTATAAGACTTACTCTTTTAAAGCTACTCTGTGTATTGTTTATTAATTTTTTCACTTTACTATCCCAGATTAATATGTAGAAACAGCTAGACGTATACCTCAAAAAATATTTTTCGAAGTTGTAGATAAATAAAACAAAGATTGTTTGTGTAGAAAATACTATTTCAAAATTTCCTGTTTTATATGCAATTTTTATTTTTATTTTTTTGCTAGCAATTTGCAAATTTTCTTGAGTGCAATTCATTAAGTAGGTTGTGTTTTAAATATGATAAAATTAAATAAGTAATTAAATCTTGTGGCTGTGTTTTCCTAGGGTCTACCAGGTTTGCTAGGACCAGTGGGAGTGGATGGACTTCCAGGACTTTCTGGGCAGAAGGGGGAGAAGGTTTGAGAATATCTAAAAGAGTTTCATATGTCATTTTGTGCTTTCAGCAGTGTTATAAAAGCTATTTTAAGCAAAGATTTCCTACAGCTTGCCCAAGGCAGTTAAAATGCATAAATTAAATCTCTCTGCTCATCTGCCTGCTATCTTTTTGGAAGTCTCATTGTTTGGAGAGCTGTTAAAAAAAAAACAAAAAAACAAAAAAACATTGCCCTTCCTCTCTGTCAGGACTGCATGAAGCTAAAATTAGTACAGCTGGTTGTTTGATTGAATTTCTTTTGTGTTCATCATAAAGGGAGAGGAAGGTATCGGAATTCAGGGTGTTCAAGGTCCACTTGGGCCAAAAGGAGAAAAGGTATGTGTTTCTGATTAGTTATATTAGTATTTCATTAAACGTATGCATGTTCCACGGTGAAAAATCTGAAGGGTAATTATTAAGTCAGTGCTAATCAATTTTTCAGGGTAATACAGGACTACAAGGCCCAAAGGTAAGCGTGTTGCATTTAAAATCAATGGAGCAGAGTAAAAGACATTTGTCTTGTGCAATGTGTAATTTGTAGTTTCCATATTCATCCAAAGGGTGAAGTAGGAATCCAAGGAGTCCAGGGAATCACAGGCCCTCGGGTTTGTCAAACTATACACAACCATTTCAGCATCGAAGTGTTTCGTCTGTCAATTCGTGCTGTTAAATTATGTCTGTCTTTCACAGAGAATCGCCATGAACCTTTTAACAGATGTCAACCTTAGATGCAATTTTGTTTAATAAATGTTAAGTGCTTCATAATGGCAGGGGTGTTTCACTGTTGTTGTGTTTTTGTCTGTGTTTAGGGGAAAAAGGGTCTTAAAGGAGATCAAGGAGACAAGGTATGATTTTACACAATTTAGTCAGGCACATGTCTTTCTTACTGCTCTGTTTTAACCGATTTGCTCTTTCTCTAAATTAAAAAAAAAAAACAATCACATCAAGTCAGTGCTTTTTTCTAGTACTGCTGCTGCTCTGTATTTAATAACCTGATCCAAAAATGTACAATTGGTTCAGTTCACTAGTATCGTGGTCAGAACCCTGTTTCCTCATTGAAATCTGGAATATTTTTAAACATCAAATGCACTAAACATCAACATCAGCTTCTTGCTAATTAAAATATGCTGTCTGGAATACTTGATTCTGTGGTCAGATATTTTTGTTTTATGACATTTCTGACTCTTTCCTCTCACATAATAATATAATCTTGGCTCAAATCAATTTTTCATTTCCATTGATTTGTATATTTGGTAAGCAGTCATGTTAGAAGTTGGATAATGTATAGTCAGCTAGCTAGTCATAAAAATAAACCTGTTCAGGATGATACAAGACCTGACCACCTTCTCATGTTTATTTTACAATAATGGCTATCTGATGGTACATTTATTTTTTTGCATGTAGGTATTATTTGTTTCCAGTTACATAAACTACAAATAATAAATTCCTCAGTTAGTCTAATCAACAACTTGCTTTGTTTGACAGGGTGAACGTGGGGAAATTGGACCTATCGGGCCTCCAGGAGTTGCAGTAAGTCCATAACTTTTACCTGTTCACTTCCCTGAAAAATAGAAATAGCAACTGCAGGAAAAGGTCACATGTGTGATGAACCAGTTAATGGATTTAAATCACTGCACTGCACAAATGCTTTCTTAAAGTCAAATCCTTATTCGTTTGTTCGCTCTTCAAACTCCTCCACTCTGTATGGTGCTGTAGAAGTTCTATTAAGAGCAAGGATGAGCTGTAGATCTTGGGGGAAATTAAAAGAGTTGATTAAGAAAAAGGAAAAACGCCTCCTCTCTGCTCTCTGGCCAGTCATGGACTCCATAATACACATCAAACTAAGGATCCATTATCGACCTGATTAAAATTGCGAAACATCTGAATGGAGATTTCACCAAATCATGAGACGGCAAGAGAATTACACACATGAAACATTAAGAAATACTATATTATTATATCCTTCACATGCAACCTTGCTACTCTGTGTCCATTTCTGGCAAATCAGATTTTCAGTTAGTTTCAAATTAAACTTCTGCAGTCATTATTAAACCCAAGGCTTCAGAGAGGAGATCAAGGACACTCTCCAACGATTCGACTCCTCATTATCCTTGGTTCCCTCAGAAACACTATGGCATGATAAAACGTTTGGTTTAGAGCTCTAGCGCACTCTAAAGATGCTCGCAGAGAGCCCACACTAGACATCTAACATCTCTCAAAGCACCTGAGGTCATTCATATTTGCTGAATACTAATTTCATAATTCTTGCAATGATTAGAGGGAAAGTTTACTTTCTCTTTTTAAACTTTAGGGCTTCCCTGGAGCTGCTGGACGAAAGGGTGATGAGGTGAATCTAAACTATTTTCTTAATTTAACCAAATCTAGTACTTCTAATAAACTACACTGCCCAAATTTTGTGGACTTCCCATCCTAGATAAGGAGTTTAACTTATTTCAACTACACCCGATATCTAATAAGTGTGTGTAATCAAGCATACAGCAATGCAATCAGCCAATGTTTCAAAACCTACCTTTTAATTGTCCCTGTTATTATTTGATCTCACATTGAGCGTCAATTATGTGTAGTCAATTAATGCATGCAAATTTTATGCAGTTTATCACATTAGCACTTACAACTGTCTACAATTAAACAGTGTGGGATTTGTATTTATGTGTTTGATTCACAGGGGCAGCGCGGCCCTCCCGGTGACCCAGCAAAAGGGGTAAAACTGATGTCCCAGAATGCCTCAGTGTCTCATCTAACACATTTTTGCTTAAGAATAGACTATTGCTAATAATTCCCCTCACATTTTAGATACTCGGTCCTCCAGGGAAAAAGGGTGCCAGGGTAAGATAATAAAGAATTGGTTTCAAAATGTAAAAAATGTCTTAATATGTGAACAACTGTCTGCACTAAAGCCAGGTCACCCTTGGGTTTTACATCCCAGCTCATGAATGAAATCTGACAGTTATTTCCCCTTGGGTTTCCCTCAACTGCATTGATGAAAACAAACAGTGCATCCAGCACTTGGACAACTTAAACATGGTTAATTACTGCCATGAGCACAGATATGAAACTAAGAGCTCCCCCGGGTCTGCTTGTCAATGAACACACAAAGTCTCAAAACACTCCAGTGGTAAAATCTATATGATTAAAAGTTTTTAAGTGATGCTTCTAAATAAACCAAACTGAGCTTGAGCACACCTGCCATATTGGTTGTTGGTAGGTTTTGTATTATTTCTAATGGTCATAAGCAGAGATATTTAAGCTTGGTTATCTTTTTTTCTCCCTGGACTGTGTGTAAAGGGGGATGTTGGACAAGTTGGGCCACCAGGACCACAAGGTATCAAAGGAGATCAAGGTGATAAAGGTGAAAAGGTAGGTGTATGTTTGCTGTTTTGGATGTGAAAGTACAATTAATTGTATATATTGATTAGCTGCCAGTGTGAATGTACTGATGTGTTGTCTTCTGGGTTTTTGAAGGGCAGTCCTGGATTTGGAATCCCCGGTCAGCCTGGTCCCAAAGGAGAGAGTGGAGAAAGAGTGAGTGTTTATGAGGCTTGTTGGCCTGTAGGAAAATCTTCACTTCTAACTGTAGGACACAATGAAGAAAACTGAAAAAATGTCCACACAGAAATTGTATAAACCATATATGGAATTGCACTACTGTTTAAGAGTTTGGGTTCGGTAGGATTATTTGATGTTTTAGAAAGAATTCTCTTATGCTCACCAAGGTTGCATTTATTTGATCAGAAGTACACTAAAGCAGTATATATTGTATATATATTGCAAATACAAGTACATTTATATTTAGTCATTTAGCAGACACTTTTATTAAAAGCGACTTAAAAATTAGGACAATGGAAGCAACAAAAGAGCAATGATATGCAAGTGCTATAACAAGTCTCAGTTAGCTTAATGCAGTACATGTAGCAAGGTATTTTTTAAATTATATTATTAATAAAAAGAAAACAGATAGAATAGAAAAAGAATAGAGCAAGCTAGTGTTAGAGGCCTTTAATTATATTATTAATAAAAAGAAAACCGATAGAATAGAAAAAGAATAGAGCAAGCTAGTGTTAGAGGCCTTTTTTGCTTTTGTTAATTGTATAATAAATAAAAATAAAACAAATATATAGAATACAAAAAGATTAGAGAAGCTAGTGTTAGTTTTTTTTAAAGAAAACAAACAGTTAGTAAATGAATAGAGTGCAAGTCTAAAAGGGACAAGTTTTTGTTTTTTTTAAGAATAGCATTAGAATAGAGAGGGTAATAGAGAGGGTCAAATAGAGATGGAAGAGATGTGTTTTTAGCTGATTCTTACATTTACATTTAGTCAAAAGTAAAGTAAATATAAGTAAATAAGTAAACAAGTAAAAATCTACATTTGTTCATAAATTCACATATTAGACAAAAAAAAAGTTTTAGAATACCCAAAAGAAAAGAAACAACCCATCAAACACAATTCAGACCATTCTGTCTCATTTCTTTTTTTTAAATGTAGGGTAATGTTGGATTATCAGGGAAACCTGGGCCTAAAGTAAGTTTGTTATACTCACATTTACACTCTTGTATTTTAATACCTGTCGAATTCACATTTGTGTATTTTAATACCTGTGGAATTTGATTTGTGAATCAAAGAGAGTTCATAAAAGATTAAATGAAGGTAATTTACATGAACACTTCCTTCGATTGTGTCCAGGGCAGCGATGGGTCCAAAGGAGAGAAAGGGGAGGTGGGCTTCCCAGGCAACCCTGGTTCTCCAGGACTAAGAGGTAAAGATGTAAGTAAATCCAGAGCCCAGAATGACTGATACAAGAAGGATGGGAGTGTGTGTATATGTGAGCATGTGTGTGTGCTATGCATCATTGCACTAAGAATATTAGAGATAGAAGGGTTACTTTGCCATAAAATACCCATTGTTTGCTTTTTAATTAATGTTTCATTCATATTAAATTACATTTTCTGCTTTAATGGATTTCAGGGTCTGCCAGGACCGATAGGAGAGATGGGATTGAGGGTGAGAATCAACAACAAGCACAGAGAGACCCATACCTTTACACAATCTTTGTTTTTATTATTTACAGTACTTTAATTGTTTATATACTGAGCTATTATTGATTTAGATCCCCTCAACCTCACAAAAATTTTACATTTTCATTTAGACATTATTTAGTATGTTTATTATTAAGCTGTTTTTATCTTTACAATGCAGATGATTTCAGGTTTTATTTATTTATTTATTACTTTTTTTACAGGGAGAGTCTGGTTCACCAGGAGAACCTGGAGAGAGAGGTGTTAAGGTATTGTCTCTCTTCTGAACCTCTACTTTCTTTCATTGTTTCCCTCTAATTTTTTCATACGCTCTTTATCTAACATCTCTCTATGTTCAAATCAGATAATCTGTATCTGCCTTGTAATATAACCCTTCCAATTAAAAACATATTATCCCTTTCTAACACTAGTTATAAAAGCATAAAGTCATAGTCACTTCTCCTCATCTCCAATGTCAGGGGCCTCTCGGTCTTCCAGGACGACCCGGTGACCCTGGGGGAAAAGGCGAGCATGGGAAATTAGGGTTACCAGTAAGCAGCTTCCTTTATTTTACATTCTGTAGACAGTATTTGATCAATATTTCTCTAAAGCACTTCCAAAGAGCCAATGAATTATGAGCCATAATCGCAAGGAGTAGTCAATACCGTCTGATAATGAATGCCCATATATTTCAGGGTCCAGAGGGAAACAAAGGAGAGAAAGGCGAGCCGGTACGTGCTGCTATTAAAAAGCACATGGATGGTTTTATTTTTATACTATTTTTTGTCAATGTTTCAAGGGCCGGTCATGCTCTGTTCTCACATAAGAGAATCTCAGTTTTTCTTGTCATGCTCTCCAGTGATAAATTAAAGCGTAGGAGTCACCGTATTAATATTTAATTCTCTGCAGGGAAGGCCGGGACCACCGGGAGACACTCAAGTGAGTTTTACTCTCTTTACTGGGTATTATAATCAAGCAGTTTAACATAAATTAATATTAATGCAATCATGTTATTTTCAGTTGGTTGGTTTGTTACACATGTCAAAAGCTGTCAAGCCTGTGTTGCTCTTTTTTTGTCTTTAGAAGCATTTATTTGACTGACTATTTCATGGTTATCCTTGTTAATGCATATTGTCAGTAACTTCATATTCACATAATTCTTCTTCCCTAGTTCACCACTTCAGAAAACACCATTCTCACCAGGGCCATTAAGGTAAAAGAAGACATTTAGACATTTTAAACTCTTAAAAATGTACAGATACCAAAAAAACATGTAGGACCTTTGGTCAATTGTGTATTTGTTGTCTTTAAAGGGTGAACCTGGTGAGCCAGGGCTCCCAGGACTCAGAGGGGAGACAGGACGTTTTGGACCACCTGTAAGTTAGGCTTCCACATTTAATGTACTATATATATATACTCACCCACACAACGCCATACACGCTGTCTGCCATCTGCACTGTACAATGAAAACCGAGATTCATCCGTGAAGAGAACATCTCTCCAGAGTGCCAGACGCCATCGAATGTGAGCATTTTCCCACTCAAGTCGGTTACGACGACGAACTGCAGTCAGGTCGAGACCCCGATGAGGACGACGAGCATGCAGATGAGCTTCCCTGAAACGGTTTCTGACAGTTTGTGCAGAAATTCTTTGGTTATGCAAACCGATTGTTGCAGCAGCTGTCCAGGTGGCTGGTCTCAGGGGCAAAAACAAAAGTGTTGCATTTATAATTTTGTTCAGTATATATATATATATATATATATATATATATATATAAACAGAATGATATGGGTTGTTTTTATTCTCCCTTAGGGTCCTGAAGGTAAACCAGGACCTCCTGGGAATTCCCTGGTGAGCCACTATAAAGTCATGTCCACCTTTATTAATTTGAGAATATTTTTTTTGTGTGCATATTTTTGTCAGTGTTCAGATGACATGCCTTTTAATAATTGGAAGAAAACTTAAACACATTATATATTATATAATGTAGCTCAGTTTTCTTTCTCTTCTAGCCTGGATCTAGTAAAGGAAGAGATGGTGTGGATGGTTTACCAGGAAGGCCTGGATCTAAGGTTTGACTATTTTGTTTAAATTTTAATCTGTAGAACTTTTCTAAATTATGGTGATAGCTAATCGTTCTCTTCATATGTGCTATTGTAATTGTTTTAAGTTATAATTTTCAGTGTTTTTGTGTGTACACAGGGTGAACCAGGACAGAAAGGGGACCCAAGTCCAGTGAGTAGACCTAATAAAAGCTATTTTGTGATAATTTAGCATATGATTCATGATTTAAATTTCAGTGACATTAACTGAATTGCAGGGTGTGTGACCGGTGAACATTCTTAAAGTGCATCAAATGTCTACACGATGTCTGCTAATGAGTCTGTAGAACACCTTTGATTTATGATTTAGCTTAATGTCAGGTGAAAATAAAAGAATTTACAACTAAAATATGTTTTAAAAATCCAACAATTATATGCACTTTCCTAAAGGTTATGTTTAGTTCTTGAAGGACAGATTATTATCATAATTAGAGTGACTGGAGTTAATGCTGCACTTTTCAGGGTTTTATGTGCATTCGTGTGTGTGTGTTTGTGTTTAACAGACAGGTGAGAAAGGAGATCCTGGACGTGCTGGGATTACTGGTATGCCTGGTTTACCTGGGACACCTGTGAGTATAGTAACATTTACAGCAGATATAAACCATAAAATCTCTATAATTTCTTCCTTTTTCCTAACTTCTGTTCTCTTCTCTTGTAGGGTAAACCTGGTGTTGATGGGAAACGTGGAGCAGCTGGAAAAGATGTAAGTTTAATATATTATTGTAGTTCTAAATGCTTTTGAACTTTTTATAAAAAACAAACCACTGTTTTTTCTTCTCCAGGGAGATCAAGGACCAAAGGGTGATGATGGGACAAAGGTGGGACAACAGACTTATATGAACTACAAATCTATTATATTTAAACGTTTAGTTCACCCACAAATGAAAATCTGATCAAAATTTACTCACCCTCAGGCCATCCAAGATGTAGATGAGTTTGTTTCTTCATCAGAACAGATTTTGTGAAATTTAACATTACATCACTTTGTCACCAGTGGATCCTCTGCAAAAGCTGAATGTTTATTAAATCCATTATTATTTATATACCAGACCATAATAATTCTTGAAAAAGTCCTTTTTCCCCTGTTGTTCTCTCACATCAAAATCCATATTCATATTTGTGTAAAACTGTTTTGGACTGTTTTCACTTGTAAACAGTGCTTGATCTGCCCATATTTCTCTCCTGATTCAGACAAGACAACTTTTTCACTGGAGAAAGCAATATTATGGATAGAAGACTAATATTTTAGCTTTTCACTTCACAAGGCGTTAATTGAAGTCATGTGGATTGCTTGTGGATTATTGCAATTTTTAATCAGCTCATTCTGACGGCACCCATTCACTGCAGAGTATACATTGGTGAGCAAGTGATGTAATGCTAAATTTCTACAAATCTGTTCAGATAAAGAAACGAATACATGTATGGCCTACAGATGAGTAAATTTTGATAATTTTTTTTAATTAAACTATTCCTTTCAGCTGAAATCTACTTGGCTAACATAGTTTCTTATTTTAATGCATAGGGTGAAAAAGGTGAACCTGGTGCAAATGTAAGATAATCCAAAATCAGACACATCATAATGCAACAATACTTTCTTTAAATGCAATTTTAACTATGGTACAATCAAATGGTTTGTTTATATCCATTATGCCCATTATTCTTTATTTTTGCCATTTTAACTGCTTAGGGAAATGAAGGTCAAAAAGGAGAGCCAGGATCTCCAGGCTTGCCAGGTCCTCCCATTGTCCTCCAAGATGTAATTATTTTTTCTTTGTTTTTTGAGCTTAGACAAACTTTACTTGCAACCATTACTGTTGTTAAATTACATTTGTGTTTGTTCTCAGGGTATGTCGATTGAGGACATTAAAAAGGCATTTCCCATACCAATGGGACCCCCGGGTGCGGTGGTGAGTGTCATTTTGATAGCATTGTGAATACAAGCTTCTTTTCAAATAATCAACATAAAAAGGCTGGGCTTTCATGTTTTTCATGCATTTATATTGCACTGACTTTCAGTTCTTATGTGCGTGTATGTATGTTTCTGTGTTTGTAGGGTCCTCCTGGGATGAAGGTAAAGTATAGCTAACCAAAAATCCTTGAAGAAATTAAACGCTTCTCAGACGATATGTAATTTTTCTCCTTTGGTTGGCAGGGAGAGAAAGGAGACATGGGGTTGAAAGGAGAGAAGGTATCAAAGCTTTCTACATCTTATTGACTGCACAAGATATCTCCATAAATCTATGCTGCAGAAGCGATGATAGTTGGCACTGTATTATTTAACAGGGTGATGCTGGCCCACCGGGGAGAGCTGTTGAAATGAAGGTTTGCATGGTTACTCAATGCCTATACATAATTTACTTCATTACAAAATTGATCTTTGGTGGTGTAAACATATTGTTATGTTCTATTTCAGGACATTGAAGGCTTGTTTGATTCATATGGTATTAAAGTAAGTGTGCTGTGTTTTTAAAAAGTTTGTGTTAACCCAGCAGGAGTTCTGAAGGCATAATGTTTGATTTTCTTACTTCAAACATGATTATTTTTTTAAATGAGGAGGAGGGTTACTTTGTATCCTTCAGGCAACACTATGCAATGGAATGACTTGAATGAAAGGTTTTATTTATTTAAATATTTGAAGCCAAATTGAATGACTATATATTTTTACTGATATCAGAATTCTGAATGTTAAAAAACATAAAAAGATTAACTTTCACTTCAATTTTGCTTAGATATTGAGCTTTAATATTTAATATTAGTTACATGCACTATTTTTATTCATATGAAATGTTAATATTTCATATTAATACTAAAACACACTTTATAAATATAAATATACATTTGGAACATGACAATGGCAAAATTCACAATTAAGGCTGCATCCATTACATCCATAACATAATTTAAATGACTTTTTTTGTTTTGAAATGAAAATGTACTCACTAACAAATGAAAATCATAAAATAATTTTAAATTTACCATCAGGATATAGTGTGAACTGTGTACAAGAGCTTTTTGCTTGTTTATAAAAGTAATTGCTACATTACTAACCATTTTATTGTCATCTCATATGAATTCTATATTTATATGTATTGTAACAAATTTGAATTGCATTGATGTTACACTACAATAAAACATATTACCACAATAAAAATTTGCAATTAAAAAAACACACTTTCATAGCTCTCGCTGCTGAAGGCCTTGATTGACAGGCTGCTTCAGGATGGAATGGAGGAGCTTCTTCATGAGATCAGCACCAGCAGAAGAGTGAAAGGAGACAGACAGGAGCCGGACTCAAACGTCATCACTGAATACACCGTGAGTTTTATGTTGGGGTTTTTTTCTGTTTATGATAAATACCCACTATTAGCAATAATGTTCTTGCTCCTCTTTCTAATCCACAGAGCTCAGTAAAGTACAGTCACCCACAAGAGTCATTACCTGATACAGATTTGGCTGAGGAAGAGACTGATCTTGAAGAGGGGCAGATGCCTGAGCCCAGTCCTGTAAGCATGCATTCATTCCTGTATCAGTAATTACAGCACCATTATTCATAATCCATTTGTAACCAAATATCAACATACTTTATTCAGTTATTTTCAGATATACTTGGCTGATTTGTTCTGATATAGTGTTATCTACATTTAATGTAAGCAATACAGTTGCCATTGTTTTTTAATGTGGCTTTGGTGCCTTGTCTTGTATTTTAAGAAGCCTGTTGTAGAAAAAGAAGTGGGTCCTATCCTTTCGAACATCTCTACTATTCACAAAAAGGCCAACCAGAGTCAAAGCAAAGACAAGTTGGTAGATGTTGAAGAAAAGAAACTTGTGGAGACCAACTTCAGTGATGTTACACCTTTGAAATTTCTCCAAACCAACACTTCCTCTGAGAGGGTATGCTTACTAGTGATATTTAATGTTATTTATTGTATTGAACTCATTAAAGTGAGTTTTTAATGTAGTTTATATATAAAAATTCAAAACTTCACCGCATCACTTGTCTTTTTTCAGATTCATTTGAACATAATTCCATTTATTGGCTACTTTAAAAACAAGTTTAAAAAAAATAAAACCTTTTTCACAGTTGGTCTCTGGGAAGGTAGAGGTAAGTATGGAGACAGTTTTCCACAGCCACGAGGACACGGGGAAGAAAACATCTGGAGAGAAGAAGAAAAGCAGAGAGAAGGGAAAGGTACACTGATCTCGCTCTGTTATATAGATGAGTTTCAGTCTCGGTTCTGTGTTGTACTTACTGTAAATTAACAGAATATCAATTAATAAAGAGTCAAATTAGCCATAAGCTGGTTTTGGCTATTAAATAGACAAATGTCTTAATCCTGGTGAAAATTTTAATCTGTGCAGTAATAATAAAAACCTAACCAGACATAATTAGAACTGAACATTGCAATTAAATATTAAATGTCATTAAATGTCATGGCCACTAACTTCCTAAATGTCTCTAAATATTTCTAATGAGTGTTATTTAAAGCCTTCTCATAAATTATGATGCTTCTCAACTGCTAAACTCTCAACCAGGGCAAAGGAAATAAAGGACGTCAAAAACGACAAAGGAAACGTTTGGTAAATGTTTCATCATCGCACCTAACCTGACATTCACACATCATTCATATTCAAGGGAGCTTAATAGTGACTAAATGTGAACTTTTTGACTATTACATTGAACTTTATTTGTGTGATTACTTAAATATTCTGATGTACTAGAGTTATTATATTATAAAGTACTTCATACAAAAAAAGCATAAACCCTAAATGATTTATAAACAAACATTAAATGCACCTGTTTTTACCCATAATCATAATGTATAATTAATCCAACGAATATGCTGCAGATTTCATTAATCACAGTCATTATACTCCCCCTAAAAGTACAAAGAATGAATGAATATTCTGTCACCATTTTCTCACCTTCAACCTGTTTGACTTTAATGGAATTTTAATTTTGGGTGAATTATAACCACTTAAAATTCTCCATAAATCAAGTTTACCAATATTGTTATTTATTTTAGTCTGTAAATCATGTCTCTAATGTGTTTTCAATCTATTCTCACTGACACTTTTACATGTGTGTTTGTTCTCTGTGGAAACATTAGTGTCAAAACAAATCTTTTTAGCTTCTGTCTAATAATGCTTGATCATTAGAAGGCAGAAATAATTTTTCTTACCACTGTAAATTACAGGAAGATCAAGACAACATGGAAGAGGAGGTTGAGGAAGCATCATATGACGATGAGGAATATGAATATGAGGTAAGTCTGTCACATGATCCTACTGTGAAATTTAATGTATGATGGCAAATACACCGATGTGATTCATAATCAGATTTTGTCTATAATGTGTTGACACATTTATAATGAACTGAATGAGAACCGACATGTCAACCTACGCTAATCACCTGAGTTTACCTCATATCTCCCTCCCTCACACCCACACCGGAGAGTCCAATCACATCGTTCACGTCACACTTAACAGGGCCTTAATATAGTACTCCCACTCCACAGCCAAAAGAAGAAACAGTAATCACAAAGTTTCTAATTAATGTTGAGTAATTCTTCTTATAATCTCTCATCACTTGCTTTCAGTTTAGGGAATTTTTTACACACTGAAGCCATTTTTTTCATGAACTTTTTGCATCGATTTTTGAATGTTTTGTTCGTATCATGTTAGGACGAGCTGCCCACAGAAGAGCCCTTTCCCTCTCGAGAGGAGGAGGGCGAAGGGGAGGAGGTACAATACAATATGGTACAATATGGTTGTACAATATATTATAGCACTGAGCTGAAGTTGTTGTTTTTTCTGTTGGAACTCTTGTTTTGTCCTCAGGTAAAATACTCAGCAACAACTGCTATATACACACAAGAAAATGAGGTAAGAGTGTAAACCTTTCTTTTTAATATTACTAATAATTTTAAATGGTTATGTTTAGTAAGATGCTATAAATCCTATTAAAAAAAATGTAACATTTACACAGGATGAAACAACTTCTCCGATTACACAGTCTCCAGAGGAGATTACACTGGTAAGAATATACACTACCAACAGTTTGATAAGACTTTTTGATGTTTTTGAAAAAAAAATGTTATGCTTACCAAAGCTGCATTTTTATTGTAAAATATTATAATAACTGATTTCTATTTTACTATATTTCAAAATGTAATTTATTTCTGTGATGGCATCGGCAGTCATTACTTCAATTACTTCCAGTCTTCAATGTCATGTGATTCTTTAGAAATTATTCTAAATTTTTTTTTGCTTGACAAAATATTTGCCTTTATCAGTGAATTTCACCAGTGCAAACAATATTTTGTGCATGTTCAAATTCATTTTAAACAGTCAACATCAGTGTATTAATATAAAGTGTATGTTTCAAGAACATGAAAAGAATAACTAATGAAACATCATCGTGAAAGTAACACACTGGCATCCCAGCATGCACTGCACTTGATTTTCAGTCATGATTCTGTCCTCAGGTAAAATACTCAGCAACAACTGCTATATACACACAAGAAAATGAGGTAAGAGTGTAAACCTTTCTTTTTAATATTACTAATAATTTTAAATGGTTATGTTTAGTAAGATGCTATAAATGCTATTCAAAAAAATTTAACATTTACACAGGATGAAACAACTTCTCCGATTACACAGTCTCCAGAGGAGATTACACTGGTAAGAATATACACTACCAACAGTTTGGAGTTGATAAGACTTTTTGATGTTTTTGAAAAAAAAAGGTTATGCTTACCAAAGCTGCATTTTTATTGTAAAATATTATAATAACTGATTTCTATTTTACTATATTTCAAAATGTAATTTATTTCTGTGATGGCATCGGCAGTCATTACTTCAATTACTTCCAGTCTTCAATGTCATGTGATTCTTTAGAAATTATTCGAAAAAAAATTTTGCATGACAAAATATTTGTCTTTATCAGTGAATTTCACCAGTGCAAACAATATTTTGCGCAAGTTCAAATTCATTTTAAACAGTCAACATCAGTGTATTAATATAAAGTGTATGTTTCAAGAACATGAAAAGAATAACTAATGAAACATCATCATGAAAGTAACACACTGGCATCCCAGCATGCACTGCACTTGATTTTCAGTCATGATTCCTCTGGTTTGTGCCCTTGCAATGCAGAATGTAACATTAAAAATGCTTCATGGTCGCTCTTACAGGTAAATATGCAGCCATTACTCCAGTCTTCATGATCCTTCAGAAATAATTATAATATGCTGATTTGGTGCTCAAGAAACATTTCTATTATCAGTGTTGAAAACACTTGTGCTGCTTAATATTTTTTTGTGAAAACATAGGTATATTTTTAATTAGGATTCTTTGAATTAAATGTTCAAAAGAATAGCATTTCTAATCATTTTTTAATCATAAAATGATTAATTTCTTTTAAAAATCTTTTACTGATCCAAATTTTTGAACAGTTTTTTTTAATCATTCATAATTTCTTTTTTGCTAACTTTAACATGTCCTCTCAATGGTGAAAACATAGGTATATTTTTAATTAGGATTCTTTGAATGAAATGTTCCAAAGAATAGCATTTCTAATCATTTTTTAATCATAAAATGATTAATTTCTTTTAAAAATCTTTTACTGATCCAAATTTTTGAACAGTTTTTTTTAATCATTCATAATTTCTTTTTTGCTAACTTTAACATGTCCTCTCAATGTGTCTTCAGATGGTTCACACAACTACAGCGAGTCCCCTGCTGTCATCAAAAGTCACAGAGCAGGTACTTCGACCCTGTGTTAGTTTCAGCAGTTTACATGTTCTGCATATAATACACATGAACTAATTTTATGTGTTTTACAGAAGCCGCGTGAAACCACATTAATATCAGTGCTAAATACAACACAAACTGGAGAGGAGGTAAAAGTTTGTCTGTGATTTTGCTTTCTGGCTTCCACCTCTTTTGCCAAGACTTGCATGTGGCTTCAGTTTGAAGCATGAACTAACTAGAGCTTTGGAAATCCTTCTTTTAGCATGTCTGTTGGATATTTTAGCTTATTGAAACTGATTAATTAAATCGTTTGAATCATTTAATTGGCATCTGTTTTGTAAAATGTCTTTTAATTGAATTTTTTATTGCATGACAAAATAATTGCCTTCACTTCATCAGTGAATTTCACCAGTGCAAACAATGTTCAAATGCATTTTAAACAGCCAACTTCAGTGTATAAATGTCAAGAATATAAAAAGTAACACACTGGCATCCCAGCATGCACTGCACTTGATTTTCAGTCATGATTGCTCTGGTTTGTGCACTTGCAAAGCAGAATGACACATTAAACGTTCTTCATAGTCGCTCTTACAGATCAGCTACAGGTTTTCTTTAATATATTTATTTTCTTAACACAGGAGCTCCCCTAAACTCTGTAAGAGAGACATTCAAGTGTGTAGAAACTGTGAAGGGTAAAAGAGGGGGAGGATCTGACTGGCCGGCATTACTTTGGGAATGATGTCTTTCGTCCATGCTGCCTCCACCACGACTAGCGTTCAGTATGCTGCAGTGCCTTTGATAGATTGAGAAGAACCTCCAGCACTCTTTGAGGAGAGATCAGCCCAGTATAAACATAAAGAACAGATCTTGTAATGTGCTGTTTTTACACTTACTGAACAAATACAAGCTAAATCATCAATAATCCATATAAAAGTGACAACACAAAACACTCATGAATGGTTCGTGACATTATTCTAAGTTGTTTTTTTATAGAGAATCAAATCATTTGCCCTGACAGCTCATTCAACATCGATTTGTTCATCAGTTCCTTATTTATTAATAAGACTGAAAAAAAGATTGTATTTTGTGTGTCTGCATATTTACTTTTTCATTTGGGGTAACATAATGTGCTACCTGTTTTCACTGGTGAAATTCAATGGCATATTGCTTTTCTTTCATATTTAATCTGTTTGTGCATGTCTGTCAGTAAATGTGTTCTTCCTAAACCAGTCTTAACCTGTTTCTGAGTCTTTATTGTGTTATGTGTGTTTAATTCTTTCACAATCATGTTTGTTTCATGATATTTTTAAATTATATTGATAAAATAAATTGGTACCATATCAATTATTGAACAATATTAAATATTTGAATTAATCAGTATCATTTAATAAAGCAATAAGCCCCAAGAAGCCGTGGTTTACAGTGAATTTATAACGGCTAAGGGGTGTGTTGTTAGGCACGACGTGAAGCGGATATACTGCTATCAAGTGTTACCAGTTAATAAAAAAACGAGTAATATAATAACACTGTTTAATGCGATCTTTAGCAAATCTCAAAATGACATATTTTTTTTCATATCTGTACATTATAAGGTTTTGGTGCCTATTAAAATGATTGATTTAACACTTTAGTTCAGTAAAGCAGTGATAATGTAAATGTACATGAAACTCCTGTTTATAAGACTGTTTGGGTATAAACAGGTGAACTTGTCCCACAATAGCGGCCTGGAAAAGGCAAGATCTAAAGTGAAGAGAAGTGCTCCTTCATCTGAGTTCATGGTAAAATTTTGTTCATAACTGTCCAACTAATGTTTTGACAGTAGAATTTCATTTGCACATAGAATAAGCATCTTAATAAGGCCACGTGTGTCTTCTGCAGGCCTACATGCCTGGAACACCAGGAGGACAAAACCGTTACAAACAAGGATCTAAGGTGATGAAAATTGAATTACAGCGACATATTTAGTGCTTATGATTGAATAAGCTCATCTTAGAGAGCTGCAGATGTGATTGCATGATGTAATGGAGGGAACAAAGTGAAATTTTGTTATTGCATCTTCTTTTAGCGGTCTACCTCGGGTGCACAAGGCAAAAAGAAGCTAAATGTGAGTGAGTTTAATCTACCTAAAAAATGAGGAATCCATAGAACTTAAAAGAATAGTTGACCCAAAACTGAAAATGTACTCACCCTCAGGCCATCCAAGATGTAGATGAGTTATGGGGAACTTCCCAACTCTCTTTGTTATTTGCCTTGTAAAAACTGTGTTTGTTAGTGGCTGATCACTTGTGAATTTGCGCAGGGGGAGATTGGTGAAAAAGGCCAGAAGGTACACTCATTTTCAACTTGGTGTCAATAACTGTTTATCCCATATTTCTTTAGCCGCCTTTGATCTGTTTGTGCGTTCCTTTTTTTTTAGGGAGAACCTGGAACTGGTCACCGTGGGCCCATTGGTCAGGCCGGTCCACCAGGACAAAAGGTGATTGATTAAGCTGTGTACGTTATCAATGCTGTGAATTTAACTTCCCATAAAGTACAATCCAAAAAAGGAGAGGATACCAACATAAACCCAAACACAGTTAATAATAGAGATTGCTTAACTAACAAACATTTGAATGTTATGTACTTAGGGCGAGCCTGGAGAACCAGGACCACCTGGAGCACAGGGCATTCAGGGTATTCGTGGCAACGATGGGGAACTTCCAAACTCTCTTTGTTATTTGCCTTGTAAAAACTGTGTTTGTTAGTGGCTGATCACTTGTGAATTTGCGCAGGGGGAGATTGGTGAAAAAGGCCAGAAGGTACATTCATTTTCAACTTGGTGTCAATAACTGTTTATCCCATATTTCTTTAGCCTCCTTTGATCTGTTTATGTGTTCTTTTTTTTTTTTAGGGAGAACCTGGAACTGGTCACCGTGGGCCCATTGGTCAGGCCGGTCCACCAGGACAAAAGGTGATTGATTAAGCTGTGTACGTTATCAATGCTGTGAATTTAACTTCCCATAAAGTACAATCCAAAAAAGTAGAGGATACCAACATAAACCCAAACACAGTTAATAATAGAGATTGCTTAACTAACTAACATTTGAATGTTATGTACTTAGGGCGAGCCTGGAGAACCAGGACCACCTGGAGCACAGGGCATTCAGGGTATTCGTGGCAACCCTGGCATCCCGGGGTCACCAGGTCACAGAGGTCAGCCTGGTGACCCTGGAGAGCCAGGTAGAAAGGTAATGTCAGCCCATTCTCAATGTTGAGTAGTTACCTTATTGAATGACTTTGTTGATTTAAACACAAAAAATGAACTTGGATGAATGACTTTTTCATTTGTTTGCCTGCTTTTAAAGGGTGATAGAGGGAGACGAGGGAAGAATGGCTCACCTGGTACTCCAGGTGCAATTGGTCCTCCTGGACAGCAGGTACCGCTTCTGAATTTTACTCTATATTTTACTACATTTACTCTGGAGGGAAAAGTGAAAAACTAGAATAAACTGAGAACTTGCTGTTCTTTTTACAGGGTCCTCATGGCCCCTCTGGGGTTAATGGTGAAAAGGTAAGTCATTGCATGTAATGTTTATGCTCAATGATACCAGGTTAGGTTGAAATGCCCCACAACATAAATGTACACATGCATGAAACATTTCATCTGCTATCACTAGGGAGACAGTATCCCAGGAGAACCAGGAGACAGAGGAATTCCTGGGCTCCCAGGTCGCAGGGTAATATTATGATAATTGCTCTTTCAGATTGTAGGTATAATTTTTTTGGTTACACTTTCTGTAATAGCATATTAGTTTGTTTGCTGAAGTTATTAAATTATGAATTCTAAAACCATGGGCCAGATTTACTAAACAGGGCCAATTTGTGTGAGACCGCAATCCCATGAAAGTGCTGATGGTAGATGAAAGATCTGCAAAAGATATTTTACAGGGTCCTCATGGCCCCTCTGGGGTTAATGGTGAAAAGGTAAGTCATTGCATGTAATGTTTATGCTCAATGATACCAGGTTAGGTTCAAATGCCCCACAACATAAATGTACACATGCATGAAACATTTAATCTGCTATCACTAGGGAGACAGTATCCCAGGAGAACCAGGAGACAGAGGAATTCCTGGGCTCCCAGGTCGCAGGGTAATATTATGATAATTGCTCTTTCAGATTGTAGGTATAATTTTTTTGGTTACACTTTATTTCGATAGTCCACTTTAGACATTCTACTAACTATAAGTAACTTTGTAACTACATGTCAACTACATGTCAACTAATTATCATTAATTTGCAACTACATGTCTACTAACTCTCAGAGTAGACTGTTAGGGTAGGTTTAGGGTTAGTAGAATAAGTTGACAAAGAAAGTGTTAGAAGATATTAAGCAGACAGTCTACTAATACTCTATTAACTGCTAGTTGACATGTAGTTGCAAAGTTACTTACTGTTAATAGAATGTCTAAAGTGGACTATCGAAATAAAGTGTTACCATTTTTTTTTCTGTAATAGCATATTAGTTTGTTTGCTGAAGTTATTAAATTATGAATTCTAAAACCATGGGCCAGATTTACTAAACAGGGCCAATTTGTGTGAGACCGCAATCCCATGAAAGTGCTGATGGTAGATGAAAGATCTGCAAAAGATGTATTGACATTGTGCAATTGAAAGAAGACAGACGCAGACAGCTCACTTCCATAATGACCAGCACAATCTATCAAGACCAAATTAGCAACTATCATAGCCATGTTAAGCACAAAATAAGTTAAGACATGCTTGTTTTTGCGGTGTTAAATAGTAAATAATAAATTGACCTGTGACTGGTCACAGAGGAGACAAGGTAAGGACAGCATAAGTGTAGATTGGATAACTGCATCGTGTTTATTTTGATTCTTTCACCAACTACCATATTGGTTTCCTGGTTTTGTAGGGTAGTCCTCTCTCCATGCCAGGACCCAGAGGATATAAGGGTCTGAAAGGAGAGCCAGTGAGATATTTTTGTATTTTAATTTGTCATTTCACTATAATGTTTCCCACAAAGGCCATACTTGACTATGCGAACTCAACAATACAGGTTAGCTGTTTGAGTTTTTAGTTGTTTGTTTGTATAAATGACAGATACAGACCAAGGTATGTCTGAATTTTACATGGCAGGGTGAACGTGGGCTACCAGGATTTGATGGAGATAAAGGAGAGAAGGGTGAAGATGGTCCACCTGGTGCAAAGGTATTTTCTAAACAGTTTTTCTATACCTGTAGAAAAAGTGAATTTATAACACTTGTTTCATGTATTTTCAGGGGCTGAAGGGAGAAGCTGGTACTAAAGGAGGCATGGGGCCTTTTGGTGCACGTGGTCCAGTAGGACAAAAGGTCAAAATTAGCTCTACTATGAAGTTTATGCACTATATTGCTTGAAACTGCATTTTTTTTAGTATAGATTTTATTGTTTTATATGGCATGTTATATCACGGTAAATGTTTTTACTGTGGAAAATGAATTTTGGGAGTGAAGGTATAATTATTTTCTTAGGGAGATCCAGGGGAGCCAGGCGCCAATGGGGAAAAGGTAGCCAATTTCCTCTTTGTTGCAATAGTTTCAAAACAAATGTTTGAGATTTTGATACTTTTAGACATTTTGCTGCTGTAACTTTTGTTAAATATTACTGATTGGCTGAGATTTGTCACAGGGTCGTAATGGAGAACATGGATTGGATGGTGAGAAAGGTGATAAGGGAGACGTGGGCCTGCAGGGCCGAAAGGGAGATCAGGTGAGAATATGAATCATCTGAATTAAATATTAATTAATAAGAAATTTCTCTGAGCAACAGTGGTACCTGAGAGGGAGAACACTGTTCCATTAACCTTTCTTACTAACTACATTATTTAGATGAATGATTAAATAATTAAGTAGACTTTCCTGTGAGTTGTTTTATTTTTTACATTTTTATTTTATAAAAATTTTTTTTGAGTAACACACTATTCATGGACCTTGACTCATTGGTTTGTGTGTTCAGGGTGAGACAGGAGAGCCTGGTTTAGCTGGAGATGCAGGAATTATAGGCGAAAAGGTATGAAATGTCAATCTTGTCTTTAGTTTTTGTGTTCTCATCTGTCTGTAACCATTGTTTCACAACACTTATTTTTCTGTAGGGCTTCAGAGGTTTCCCTGGTCGAATAGGGAGTCCTGGACTGGACGGAGAACAGGTATTTTTGATCCATTTTCATCTTAAATTGAAAATTGAAAGAAATAAACCACTAAGAACATTTCCTTTGACTGTAAAACACAAGGGTGATTCTGGGGACCCTGGCAGGCCTGGCATTCCAGGACTTAACGGTCTCCCGGGACGAAAGGTGAGTCACTTACACACACAGATATTGATAACCTCATCATCAAGTATGAGATGAATTGTTATTGTTAATGTTTAGGGAGAAAAAGGTGATAGTGGTCTGAATGGTCTTGATGGAGCTCCTGGACAAAAAGGAGAGAAGGTAAAAAATTATAGGACCAGTGTTATTTCAAAATCTTTTAATAAAAGGAATAGTTCACCCAAAAATTCAAATTCAGTCATCATTTACTTATCTTCATATCCTTCTAAACCAGTTTAACTGCAATACAAATAAAGAGTTTTTTTTTTTAATTCACACTATTTCTTCCATACAACAGAAGCACATTTCAGTCAGAAGCTCCAAACAAACTAAAACCATAAAAGTATCATAAACGTAGACCATATAACTAAAATCATATATTCAAAGTCTAATGATGTCATATGATATTTGTGTGAGGACAAGACCCAAATGTATGTTGTTACAAATGACTTGCATTCAGATGTAGATATTAAATTGCATTTCATGCAGGGTTATACCATTAACAAAAACAAAAACTATTGAAAACATTTTTGTTAATTTAAATTAACAAAAATTTAACTGAATTAAATTGAAACTAAAATTAAACTATATATTTTTTTTCATCTAAAAAAATGACCAACTGTAAATAAAAACAAAACTTGCATAAAATAAATGATGCAAGTAAATAAATGCAAAAAAAAAAAAAATGCAAATTCAAAATATTAGTACTATAGATAAATAATACAAAATAAAAACATCATCATGTCACAATAGACATTAGAAAACCATGCTTGCATCATCGTGTCAAATTTGAAAATATGTAGATGAGGGCATGATCGCAGAATTTTCACTTTTGGATGAACTCTTAAATAATCTTTCCCTGTCAAATATAATCATTTCAAAATAATTTATTTAACCCATTCTTCTGCAGGGTGCGACTGGTTTCCCAGGTTTCACTGGGTTTAAGGGATCTCCTGGTGCACCAGGAACTAATGGGGCTCTGGGTCGGCCTGGTCCGGTTGGACCTAAAGGTGAAGTGGGACCAAAGGTATGACCAACCTACACTTAGACAATAATATCTACATGATAACAGAGCTGAATTTATTATTCCTCTGTGTGATTCATCAGACCTCACAGATAGATGGATAAATAGTCAAGCCAGTGTAATTAGGGCCATCTTCATATCTCACTCAATCCCATGTGGAGGAACCGTGGAGGAGGACAAGGCCCTAATTAACCAAGAAAGACAGGATGAGAGAGAGATAGAGAGACGGGGGGTAGGAGCTATTTCTGCTGGGATGAAGATTTGAGCTATCAAACTAAACACTGCGCTAAGGCCGCCTTTAGCCACAATTAGGCATCTCTTGATGTTGATAGGAATGGAGAGGGTTCAGCAAGCTGCACTCACAGAGTCTCTTTAGTAAAGGTGAGCTGTACTTCAGCACAGAATCAGCAGACAATCCTAAAACATGAGGCATTTTCTGTGAGTAAAGTTTATGAATTAAACATTATTGTAAAGTATCACTCTGGTGCTTTTCTGTACTAAAACATCCAGTATATTTTTAAACTTATATTTATTTCAGTTGAAAATAAAGTAAACCATTGGTTTGGTTATGTGTAGCCTCAAGCTCAAAGCTGATTGGTCCAGGGTTAGTGATTGTTTCGTGGTGATGTGCAGCTTCTATGCATTATTACCTGTCCAGCATTGTTTGATTTGATTGTTTTATCTATCCCAGGGAGAGAAGGGAAGGAGAGGCAGAGGAAAGGCCTGTCAACGGGGACCTCCTGGAATTCCTGGCCTCGGAGGCCTGGATGTAATAAGGCATCTACACACAAATAATTGTATCCTCCACTCAGTCAGGACTTAATCTATTCACAAACATACTCAGTCTAAAGTTATACATATCCTCTATGCAGGGGGAAGTGGGAACCTCAGGCATGAAAGGAGAAAAAGGGGAGACTGGACTCAGTGTATGATGACAATGCCCTATTTCTGTCACATATATATATCCTTATGGATTACAGATAGGATTTCTATGTGATTAAATACTTACATTTTCCCATTTGTTCAGGTGGAGGAAGTGAAGGATCTTGTGACAAAGGAGGTGGTTGAGAAGTGTGGTGAGTTTGTGTGCATGCAAGTTGCAAAGAGCAAATATTAAACACACAATGGACCTTAGTAGGGACTTCATATTGAATTTACCGCAAATGAAAACAAAACAAAACTGCGAGGACATAGACACACTGCAAAAAAAAAAGAATAAAGTTAATGCTTATATATATTCTTATATATAATATATATATATATATATATATATATTACATATTTATTTATATTCATATAATTTATATTATATATAAATATATTTGATATATACACAACGTTTTCCCTCTGAATTTAAGTTTTCTTATCCCACTGACAGATGTTTTTAAGAATAAACTTTATCAAAACTTCATTTTGATTTTTTTTTTTTTTAAGAAAATAAGACCTAATATTTAAGTAATTTTGCTTCTGAAGTAAATGTATCTTGATTAGAGAATGTTTAGATATTTGTACTGGAAACGAGACAAAAACACTGAATAACAAAATAATTTTTTGAAGTGCATACAGTCTTACTGTATATGATCTGACTGTTAGCTAAACAATGTCAAGATATACAACAATACAACCCACTGAATAGATTGTCTGTTCATGTTCAATTAAATATGGCTTCTACCTCCATAAAGAACTATTCAGTTGTGCACTGTACTGCAGTCCATTGAAGTGAAATTATGACTGAATAACAGAGCTTCATTAACACATGTACGTGGGTGGTTAGAAGTGTGTGTTTTTGTGTATTTGTGTCTATCAGTATTTGTGTTTGGAGGCCCCTGTTGTGAAGGCCTCATGACCCAATGGGTTCCACCATCTGTTGTGTTTTTATGGTCTCTCTTACCGAAGAAAACCTGTGAGGAACTCCATGTTCGGAAGTCATTCATGAATACGAAAACTAAATTGACAAAAAAATTGACTTTTTAAAATAATTTTATTGAACTAATGACTTCTCTGGTTTAAAAAAAATCTAATAATTGAATTACTGTCCATTTGAATGAAATTAAATGACTTAATGATGTTAGCCTAATGACGTTTGCCTAAAGCATGGTCATATTTCTATCTAAAGGAAAGGAAATACTCCTGATGGTGAACACCAATGATCCAGATGAAGAGAGTATCCTAAGGGAAGAGAGAAGAACAGATTCTGCCTCTCCGTTCTTGCTCACCCACCCCAAAGTGTGGGATGAAGAGTCAGAGGACGAGACCACTTCAGTTCATCCTGCTGTTTCAGAGTCTGAGCCAACATTAGCATATGGCAACGTTACAAGTAGGTATATTCCTGCTTTGAACCAATATGTTATAACATGGTTTCTCTCTTATGATATCATCCCTATAGTTTGTCCTCGGGCCTGGAAGGGTTTGGATGGGGGAACTGTAGTTTTATATAATCAGTTTTATGTTCATATGAACTTCTGCTGGGTCTTATGAACATTAGTCCTGATCTGGCATCTTTATGCATAAGTTCAGTCATGCATAAACACCATTCAGTTTTTCTTTCCCTGATGGAAAACAGGAAATCACACGCAAAAGTCATACGCAAAGGTTTTGCATGGTCTACTTCTCTGTGTTATTTTAAGCAACTGAGTCACATTTCAAAAAAAGAAAAATCTGTTTATTTGTTTTAGCACCAACCATAAAGTAGTTGCTCATTGGAGCCTGATGTTAATTTCAACGATGAAAATAAGAACAAAGACATAGTACATGTTATCTAGTTGGCTACATTATTATATGATGTCCACTTCGGATGGAAGAAAAATAATTAATGAATAGACTTTTCAGGCAATCAAGTCCTAGCAACACTGGTTCTCATCATCAATTAAGTATGTCATAAAATAAATAAAGGAAAAAGAATAAAGAATGTAATAAAGAAAAAGAAAACCACTGATGACTGATAATGTTTCCATTACACAAACAATTGATCTTTATTATACAACAGTTAGTTCTGGACTTTGTTTTTTTTTATCTGTCTGTGTTTGCATGGTGCAGACAGTCAGTTAGTTGATTAGTAGTGAGAATTTTTAGAGGCTCTTTCTCAATGATACATTGTTATTGCATACAGTAGGTGGTGACAACTGGCCGAGTCATTGAATCATTCATTCAACCAATTCATTCAAAAACAATGATTCATTTAGGATATAATGCCACTACTGTGTCTGTGTGTTGCTTGGAGATCTGCAAAGGTTAATCAGGTGTCTTCTTCTTATTTATTCATGTCAACTAAAATCAGTATTTCATGTCCGTTTATTTAATTTATTCAGTAAATAGTTATGTAATATCAGAAAAATATACCATCATTAAGAAATAAACCCCATCCGGATGACTTCTAGATATTATCCTGTAACACATACATGTGATTATGTTTGTGCAATGACTCTGCATATTGATGTACTTGGTGTTAAAGGAATAGAAAATTTGCTGAAAATGTACCCACCCTCAGGCCATCTAATATGTAGATGACTTTGTTTCTTCTTCAGAAAAGATTTGGAGAAATTTAGCATTACATGACTTGTTCACAAATGAATCTTCTGCAGTGAATGGGTGCCGTCAGAATGGGAGCCAAACAGCTGATAAAAACATCACAATAATTCACAAGTAATCCACACGACTACAGTCCATCAATTAATGTCTTGTGAAGCAAAAAGCTGCATGCATAGCTTCAAACCTTTGCTTCTGGCTAAAATATGAGCCCTCTATCCATAATATTGCTTTCTCCAGTAAAAAAGTTGTCTTGTCTGAAACAGGAAACCAAGCACCATTTACCAAGTCCAAAACCATAATGTCAGTAGATTTTGATGTGAGAAGACAACATAGAATATACTTTTTCTCTGTTGAGGAAGTGTTATCATGGTGGATTTGTTAACAACAAACACATATCTTTTCATGTCACATTAACTGATGGACTGGAGTTGTGTGGATTACTTGTGGATTATTGTGATGTGATTATCAGCTGTTTTGGACTCTCATTCTGACGGCACCCATTCACTGCAGAGAATCCATTGGTGAGCAAGTGATGTAATGCTACATTTCTCCAAATCTGACCTAACTCATTTACATGTTGGATGGCTTGAGGATGAGCAAATTTGGGCAAACTATTCCTTTAAATGAAAAATCTAAATCTAATATAAGCTTTTCTGTTGCACTCAGGAGCCAGTACTGAGGGAGATGGAGAGCAGAGAGAAAAGAGACGTGCACTCAAACTCCACTCAGGTATGTGTGGAGTAAAAGAGGAGAACATCGTCCTCTGCTGACTGCTGCTCCAAGTGCTTTTAACCCGTTAATACAGCTAAAAACTGCTCACATAAGCGATACAGTCAGATTTTCTGCACAAATTAAACCTGGTCCTTGAATAAAAAGTGTTTGCAATGGGAATTTTGGTTTTATGTCAGGGAAAGTAGTCCAAAAAGTACACAGTAATGGTCCTGGCACCAAAAGTGCAACGCATTAGACATGGCCAAGATTATTTCATGCACTTCTTTTTTTTTTCCACAGTCTATTTCTGTCACATCCACAGCATAATATGAGACACAAGGAACGGAAACAGACAGATAAGAGCAGAATTAATCCACTGATAAATTCAAATCATCACTGTGGAACCATTGTTAGATTATATTATTATATTATATATTTTAAATTATTCATAATTTTATTGATTTAATAAATTTTTTTGAAACATTAATTTAGTTTGAATTAATTTATACTCCCTTGAAACTGATTAAATAATGCTGCCTCCATTAAATGCAGACCTAGCCGCTGATCTGTGCCTTGAACCCATGTCTGAGGGCCACTGCACTGAATACGTCCTGCTCTGGTACTACTACACTGTCTCAGGAGACTGCCGTCCTTTTGTGTATGGTGGCTGTGGAGGAAATAGGAACCGCTTCAGCTCCAAACAGGGCTGTGAAAGTCAATGTATTCTGGGAAGGAGAGGTAAAGAGCCAATCAGAATTCAGACTTCAGGTTCCAATATAAATGATCAGAGGTGATTGTTCGAAAGATGCTAAAGAAAATTTTTTTAATCAAAATTATTTTAATTCAATTTTCTTATCTATTTACAGATTTTGGATCCTGAGGAGGAGAGATTTGCTATTTTTAACAGTTAAACTGAATTCTAGCTCACAAAAAAATACTATTTTTGTACATTGCCATGATGCCATCCTATATGTATATTAGTTTATAACAGCTTTATATAGCAGAAAAAAAATTATACTACATCATGTTTGCATTTTACTTCTACAGTACTACACATTGTTGCACTATTGTAGTTATTTCTTACAAATATGCCATGTTTTTATTTAAGAAAAATAAATAATTAGTTTGATGCTTATAAACCAAGGTCATGATTCTAAGAGTAAATGCACTATTAATATAACCGAATATGTGTTTATAACCTGTCCACCATGAGGTTTATCATTTTGCACTAATGGTTCTGTTTGTAAAATGTTCTTAATCTGACTGTTTTTGTGAGACAAATAAAACAATGAAATGAATATATTTTTGAATGAGCTTTATAGTTCCCTGTGGGTTGGGGGGTGTGTGCGTGAGAACATTTTCACATCGTGACCTCTGATTCTGGACCGTGTTCTCTGAGCTTGGCCCTGTGGTGTGCATAAATGCTGCCATATTGGCTTTTCTTCAGAAATGTTTGTCGAGTCGTGTCTGGACGGTGTCTCCTGGGGGCAGGCGGAGAAGGTGTGTGTGTGTGTGTGTATTTGAAGCACATAGACTAGCTGCATTTGTGGGTGGCTTATTTGTGCACATTTGTGAATGTATGTATTTCCTTCCTCGTTATTTTTACCCCTCCATATCTTCCCGTCCTAACAGCTTTGACATTCACTCTGTTCTGTCTTATATAATCCCCCAACCAAGCTGCTCCCTGTTGCATCCCGAGGTTTCTCGCTTTTTACATATGTCCCAGCAGCAGGGGGCCCGTGTAGCAGGCCGTAGTCCAATTTCAAGACTGTGGTATACAAGTCAGAAGGCAGGACGCCCTTTACAGTGTGTCTAAGGGGATCCCTGAGTGAACTTCATTGTGTACACTACAGAGAACAGATGCTCTTTACACCTGCTTTAAAATGTAGCCTGTAGTTTTAAAGGTTTCATGAGCTTCCTTTAACGTCATGTGGAATAAATATATTATCGTCCAGCCCAATGCACAATGTTTACAAGGTATAAAGGTGATAGTTAATGAAGTCTCCAAACTTCTGAGCCCTTAACAGCAAAGCAATCAATCATTAAAGGGAAGTGGAAAGAAAACTCATTAAACTTATAAGCATGAACTGCAAAGCATTAGATATGGTCAATGACCCTGAAAACTGGGAAAACAATAAAACAGACCCTTATAAATGGCTTAATACAGATGCAATGTAAATAAAGTGCTGCGCTGTCCATGGTTCTGAATGCCATTGGATGAATCAGTACATTCTCAACTTGCCTGCCAAATTATAAAACCATATTTTAACAATTGTATTTATTTTATTTTAACAATTGTATTGGACATTTTGGCTTTACTTTTGACAGAAAGGCTATTTACAGTCTATGAATCCAACACATCTCACAGCAAGCTGATATTTGGCAGTGGCACAATGCCAAATTGGTGGCTAATTTGTAAGAATTCATAAAAAAGACCCCATTCATGAATTGTCCTATGATCTGCTTTGCTTATGCCACACTGACTGTTAGGTTTAGGGGTAGAGCTTAACGAAAAATCGCACTCTTTCATACAAATTCACACGAAAACTTGCCACCTCACAAAACAGTTAAGTTTTTTCGTGCGATCGAGTTGGTTAATCTACAGTTAATAGGCTGCAGTAATCAGATGAAATTTACAACTCAAATAAATAATTTCATATAATAACAGGCTGGCTTCAAATATTAAGCTCAAAGTAGACTATATGGTGGCGGTTAACGCGCCTTGGGTGCAGGAGCGCCTCAGTCACCGCCTCATTTTACTGGGAGGATCCCAATAAATGACGTTATTGCTGGCGTACGACTGCAGCGTAATTGGGCTTATACTAAATGAATGCACATCCAATAGACAAACAGTCCAAGCGGATATTATGAGCAGCCAGGGAAATATTTCCCCTAAATTACTCTTATGATTCAATGCGACATTAAGTTGACACTGAGTTGTTGACTTGCTTGCCTTTTTAATAACACTTTGGATTCACGATCCAAAAGTTCTGGTTGACCTAACAGTGCTTCACTTCAGAAGACTCTCCTAATTCAAACAGTGCAGGTAAGGTACTTTTGCATTAGATTCAAGGGAATAATTTACTGGAAAATAACATTTGTGACAATTACCCAGAGGTTGTTTCAAATCTGTGACTTTATTCATGGAACACAAGAATATTAGAGGCTGATAGCTTCTGTCACCATTGCATTATGTAGGCTAAAGTGAATTGCGACAGGCTAACACCACATTTTGTGTTGCACAAAAGAAAAAAAACTTAGTAGAGATTTGGAACAACATGAGAGTTAGTCCAAAATGACCATTTTAACTTTTAGTTGAACATTTACTTCGTATTATAGGTGCATAGGACCATTTTTATACAAACTTTCTTACAAAAAGTATTAATAAAGTTATCATTACGCAGAAAATATAAATCTAAAAGCCTTATTTAAGTACTTGCCTTGTATGTATTCTGATGCGCCTCCGTTCAACAGGGCAAAACGATGTGGCTCGCGCGGACCCTCCTCGCTCTGGCACTTCTTTGCGCACCGGTTTCCAGCCTCTGCTTACCAACGTACGACCCCGTGTCCAACTTTCTTTGCAACAATGAAGTGTTCTCTGAGACGAATGATAACGGGCAACCAGCAAATTCCCTGCTGGACAGTCTAAAACTCCTGTACAAATCAGCGCACTCGCTTTCCTCCGAGGAGCCACGCGAAAGGAGGACAATACCCGCGTCCAAATACAGATACTTGAGCCAGACGCAGCTCAGAAGTAAACTGTACCGTAATAGTACGAAGAGCGACCGACGCAGCCAGGTCACTCTTTCCCTCGATGTCCCCACCAACATAATGAACATCCTCTTCAACATTGCCAAAGCCAAGAACCTGCGCGCAAAGGCGGACGACAACGCGCGCTTGCTGGCGCAGATTGGAAAGAGAAAATGAATTCCAATTTATGTCACTAACTTGACTTTAACAGATATTTTTTGTTACCAACTGAGGCATGTTATCTCTAATTTAATAATGTAATAAAATATTTTTTTCAGTTGCATAACAAGCAATACTGAAAATGAATGGAACGTATTAACAAGTGATATTTGGGTTTTGATTTATTACCCACTAAACGCATACTGGTTTGATCTTGTTAGGAGGCTTGTCATGTTTGTCAGATTGAATGCTGTTTTACAGGAAATTATTTAAAATTGGCTCATTACCATAGTGAGACTCATGGCAATTGAAAACAAAAGTGTTTGGTTCATTTCTAAACTCAAGCTTTAAAGAGCCATAACGATTGGAGTAGGCTATGTCTCGGAGGGAAGTAGCCTACGACATCTTTTTTCCTTCCTCTCTCCCTTTTCATAAATACAATTTGTCTGTTCATCTCAGATAAAAGTTGACCTGATTAGTATTAAAAATCTCTCCACTATAAGATACACGACTGTAAAGCCGATCTGTAAAGTTCTTAGAACTCTGCGTTGATAAAACCGACAGTTGAATATTTTTGTACTGAAAATAATGATTTTATCGTTTAACCCTTGTATGGTGTTCTGGTCTGTGGGACCCGTTTTCACTTGTTATCAAAAGAAAAATGATACTATTAATTATTTTTTCAAACTCAGACTCATTGGCCTTGGCTCATTTTCTGTGAAGAACATATATCAAAACACATTTTCAATGACCACTCACTGTACACCCCCCCCTACACATTTATATTACATACAGGATGTTCGGGTCCAGACCCGGGGGTAATAAAAGAGTGGACATTTTAGGTCATGTGTACCTTTATTCTGTCCTCCTATTGTCTGGGCCTGCTATTAGTGTGTGTGTGTGTGTGCATGTTTATGTGGTTTATGAGGACACAGATTTAGTATAAAAACCATTACGCCTATGGAGAGTCCCCATAAACCATAAAAACAAACCTGTGTGTGTGTGTGTGTGTGTGTGAGTGTCAGTGTGAGTTTTGTGTTTCTGCCCCTGCCATTCC